TATATATATATATATATATATATATCATTTTTCAATTGAATGTCAAATGAGAATATAAAATGAATGATGTACAGAAGAAAAAAACAAAATCCTTCAGTTAAAACACCATTCACAGCCTAGAATGTAACACACTCATATATACACGTATATATAATCTCTATATATATATACACAATGCGTATATATAAATGAAAATGTGGAAAGTGGACGCTAAAGATCCGTAATGCTTAGCCACCTTTTTCGTCGTGGCAATCCATTGAACTAAAAACGGAATCCAATGAGATCACCTCGAAATGTGGTTATGGATCATTGTAGTGTTGGCTTAGTTATATATATAACCACCCGGTTTGGTTTCAAAATTTGGACCAAATCTAAACTGAATCACTCAAAATTGGAGACTGTGATTATATACCAAAATCTCGGTTTTCGGTCTAGGTGAACGAAATTTGAACAGATGAATCTATACTAATAGAGATAACAATATAGACAAAATTAGAAATGAAGCAAAACAGCGCGAAATATGGATAAGGGTGATGTGATCTCATGGATTCTCGATGTTTACCGTGGCTATGGTCGCTAGCATAGTCGAAGCTCCGAATGCAAAAACGAGGTAAGCCCAGAATGGTATGCTCGCCATGTCATCACACTTCACCGTATGTATCAGTATAACCAATTGGATTATGGTATTTAATATGACCAAATATCGGTCATGCACACCATAAGTGTACACCATAAGTGTATCTGTAAAGAAGAAGCAAATTTTATATAAATTTTGAGATTTGTCTATGAAATAAATTAAAAGAGGTAAAACTTGATAATACTTTTTTTAAAAATTTGTTTAAGATGAAGTGACATTTAAATGATATTATATATTTAAATGATATTATATAAAGATTGGTATAATCTTTATATAAAATTTAAATATTATAAAATGATAAATTTAAATAAATATTATATTTTTATTGTGATTTTTAGAATTGTTTAATTTATATATATATTTTATTCAAATTTTAAATATTTTATAATAAATTTAAAACAAAATATATTTTTGATTAATTTAGATAGATGATGAATTTTTTTATATTAAAATTGGTAGTTGATAGATTTTTATATAAAAATATAAAAAAATTTAATTACCTACGAGGCGGAGACGTGGACAGCTTCTGCTTTTCTTCGTCGTTACTGCCCCCGAAGATGAATAGTCCCTCTGTCGAGATTCGCGCCGAGGAAATGGTGGTATAGGACGGGCCTGTACTAAAAAAAATTATTAGTTGTGTGGTTAGGAAAGAAAAGCCGAGAGGTCCTAGATTCTAGTCCTCGCCTCTGGTTTATGTTCAGCCTTAGTATGCTCTTCCAAGAATCTGTCGTGTAGATGCTGTGGGATATCCTGCTTACCCACACTACACATTATTTTGTCCTTATCAGCCTCACGAACATACACGAGCATATAAGCGCTTGCTACCGTAATTCCCTGCGGACATCACGCAATTAGAACACATATGAGTGTAAGATTACAAGAAGTGGAGAATACCTCTTTATTGACACCGAATAGCCCCTCTGTAGCCTTCCGCCCATCTGCTCTAGTCATAGTTTCATCATCAAACTTGTACCTAAGAGTCATTTTTATACATCTCTGAGATATTTCCACGGACAAAGACGATGAAGAAAGAAATATTAGGAACCATTTGTACCATTCGTCAGAGAGTGTAGGTCTGATAAATGCATAATAGTGTCCAGCATTCACATCACCGACGTGAGCCAAAACGCTGCGACAAACTATCTTCGTTAGTAGCAATACAAACAAGAAACCAAGATGGTAGGTATAAGAAATTCAAAGATACTCTCACTAGGCTATCCAAGAAGCGTAGTAACTGAATCAAATCACCTTTGAAGTATGTAACGATTCTGAACATTCTTGTCTGTCTCAGGTGCAAGATACTTGCCATCACATCGATCAAGGTCAAGTTCTAAAGGGAACTCATAGTTATCATTAATCTACATTATGAAAGAAGCACCACCATCAGTATTGAAGTCATTTGAGGCATCAAATTGCACCTCAAACTTCTGTGCAGATTTAGGTGTGTATATATACATATATCTTAGACACGCATTTATTTTAACTCACAAGACAATCACCATGTTTCTCTTACCTTACATGCATCTCCTTGAGAATTAAACTGTTGTAACTGAAGTCCGAGAACAGGAGGTAAATGAGTGAACTTCATAAATTTTTGAGCGTCCTGTAAAAGTCAATAGTTAAAAAAATGATGAATAACTCGTTCTAATTATATCTATAATCCAGAGGTGGGAAGCTGATCTTAAGCATGTTCGAACTCATTTAAGTGGAACACGTTGAGCTATTAGTGCTACCACATTGGTTATTAGGCGCACTTGACTTTCACCAAAAATGCTGTCACCAAGGCCAACATAAACCATTGACAGACGTACGAGGTGGAAGTGAATTTCTAATGTACATGTTTTCCATGCATGGTCCCTGCATGATACTTCTCATCAAGTGGCTGAGGCCTAACCATATCATCAAAGGTAGCATAAACCCCAGAACTATCTTTAACAGAAAGAGTGAACCCTGTCATAATCAGATGTAAATATATTAGAGTCACAGATAACGACGTAGTAAGATGTTTAACACTTATTACAAGTCAGAAACAGAGCACCGCAAGATTTGTCCAGTGTTGTTGATTTGTAGTCCATGATAAATGATAAACAGAGTAAAGAGAATGCGAATGACGACTTGCCTTGATCGAGAGTTTGTACAGAGTTATATACAACCAAAAGAAATCCTAACCTAGAATCTGTCAATGGAAACATAATCAAGTATCGTTGTTTTGTAGGAACAAACATATACGATTTCCATTTTGGTTTAGTACACCAAAGTTTTCTTATCTCCATAATAGTCCACAGAAAGACATTATATGACTTCCCGGTAGCGCATTTCGGACAGTTCTTGCAGGACATTGCGTGATCTAGTCTGCTGTTACATTAAAAGGGTAAGAAACTAATTTACGTTATACATCAGCTGAAACCACGCAGAGCCTAGTTTCAAGTAGTGAACCTTCATGTTGTCTGCGAGTTGTGAAAACAAGAATCCGCCAAACTCGTTGGCGTTTTGCATCACAAAAGATTGCCATTTTGATCCAAAGATTTCGTTAGCTCCATAGTGCAGACGCGGGTTTTGCCAAACTGTAGATTGTAAAATAATCTCTGCAATGCAAGCAAGGTGCTTTCTGATGGATTCTCATCTTTCGTCATGGGAATTTCATATAGTTGGACAAGAGACATTAGCATAAAAAAAACAAGCTAAGGATTTAGGGAGGAAAAGACCTTCTGGATATATCCGCATCTTTCTAAAAGAAGGAATGCGATAGAGAGCTTGGATGACAGAATTCATATAACAAGTAACTCCCTTCTGATTCTTGATCCCCAGATAGTTGTTATTCTGTTTCTTATCACGAGGCCCAACTCCTAGATTCCCCACACCCAGATGCCCAGCATCCTTGCTATTCTGTTTCTTATCAATGTAAGCTATCTATAGAGCTTTTGAGGGTGGCAACAGCACTAGGCAATAGGCGCAGACACAGAGTAGGAGGCCCTCAGGAATATATAAATGTATAGAAGGCCGCTAAAATTGTTATCTCAACGACCCTTTCTCGCCTATTTCCGTTTCATGTATCGTCTCATAAATTTTGGGTTTTGCCCATGTTATATGATCAAATGGCTCACGAGATGTAATGAGGGAAAATTCCGAATGAGTTCACTAAATTAAACCAAATTAGACCAAACCAAATCAACATTTTAATAGAATCAGGATAGGTCTATATATCATTTTTTTATAATCCAAAAATTTTGTAATACTTTCGACCGAACTAGATCTTTAAGAGGAGTGGAGAAACCCATATGATTATCCTTCAAACAAGTGGAGAAAAGAGGAGCGGAGAAACTCATATGATTATCCTTCTACAAGTGGAGATTCGAATCCGACTGTAAAGAACTTTGTTCTATCCTTTATATTTTAGAGACTTGATCATTCTTTGAAGCAAAACTATGAAAGAAGTTATCGAACTTTTGATCTTGTCACGACCTCCCTATAAAACTAGGAATAAAAAGAAAAGATCCAAAAACAAAATCACAATCTATATGTTCAAGTTGGAGTTACCGTTACCCAAAGTGTGGTCAAATTCCTTGTGGTAAAGTTATTTGGAGGTTATTTGGAGGGCGGGTCTTCGATTCCGAACCATGGAGAAGGAGATAAATGCAGTAATTATGCACGTATTTCATAAAGGTTGCTCCCAAATATGAGGTGGATGTAGTCGGATCGAAAATCCGGAAAACTATCCCCGATTATCAAAAAAAAATTGGAGTTACCTTTTGTTTTCTGTTTTAAAAGTATAAACTATTTGATGTCTGGACAGACATATGAGTTTTAGTAATCTTCATGGTTAAGGTCATATGCATTCTTGACATATCATGTTGTTTCACAAGATTTTCAGCTTACAAAGTGTTTGTCGATGGGATGGGATGGCTGGCAAGTCGGATTCGTATCTTGAATTTCTAAACCATTTCCAAATATGTATGATTTCCTCTTCTCGAGAAGTGAACCTCTACTTGAAATTTTTTTTGTTCTTTCTCAATGCCAAATTGGGCACATTAGGGGTGTCAATCGGGCTGGTCCGACCTAAACCCATATTCGGCCCGAAGGTTTCGGACTCGGGTCGGTCCACATAGATCCTTTTTATAATTTTTTTTTATTTTTTAAATATCGAGTTTTCGGATCGATCCGAGATCGAGTCCGATCCAGAAATCCGATTTTTTCGGGCCGAAAAACTTATATTCGAAGTCTGTTAATTTTCGGGTTGGACCGGACCAGACTTCGGGCCTCGGAGCCAAATTGACACCCTAGGCATACCCGAAATATGTTGGGAATATTACTCAAATAACCCACTTGGGTCGCAGCAATTTCAGTGTACCCCACCGAAAAAAAAAAAAAAAATTTACGACCTTATTACGACTAATATATAACTAATATACAACTTATTACGACTAATAAACTACTCTTATTTTAGTGGTATATTAGTTATATATTAGTCGTAATAAGGTGGCAAATTTTTATTTTTTTTTCGGTGGTGTACCCTGAAATTGCTGCGACCCAAGTGGGTTATTAGGGTTAAAACCCCAAATATGTTCCGTATCGAGATCAACTCCACCGCCGATGCCATCAACTGAATCTCCTCTTCATCATCATACTCCACTTCATCTTATCCCATTCCGCCCCTCAGCCCATCGTTCCCACAAAGCCATCCCCTTTTACGCTCTGCCCAATCCCTCTTTCCACCGACAAAATTACCCTCTCCTGTATTTATCCTATCAAAACCGGACGATCCATCCCAATAGCTTGATCAAATCAAATGTCCTTGCACGTGCCTTTCCCCCCCGCCAGATCTCGGTGGTCGACACTCATCCTCACCGGGACCCAGTCCAGCTGTATATCTCCACGTGGATTTCTCGATGAAATGTGGTTTATGTAAAGATCAATCCTGGCCGGATTTCAGGATCAAATAAAGCCTAATGCGGCCCAATCGATTTCCTCACGGTACAACCAAAACCAAACAATACCCGGTTTAGCTATGGCCGGATAACCAGAAAGCAACCAAGACTACCAATACCATCAAAGATACCAGTTAATAAAAGTTGAATGCCATCTTTTTTTCAAGCATTCAAAACGTTTATTGTTTTGTTAGAATTCTAAAGACACTGATTACGGAATAAGTCATCTTTACATTAATGAACTGGTTTCCCTTTCAGGGAAAAAACTGAATATTTCAATTTTTTTTTAAGTTTGATAAAGAATGAAATGGGATCATGTTTTTGTCTGACATCATAATTGTGGGTAATATGTTAATTTCATATATATATATATATAAAGAATAAATACTAAAGATTTTTTAAACATCAAGAATTTCATTGATGCATGCGTGTTATTGGCATAAAATTTAAGCGCAGAGCTTTGGATTACTAAATATTTGAAGAGGCAAAGTCATGTCTTCAACTGGATCAACATAAAATTATGTTTTCATCAAACTAAGTAATGATTCTTGTTGTGTAATTCACGCAAACTCAGTCACTTAATTAATCTCTCTCTCTCTCTCTCTCTATATATATATATATATATATATAATATGAGAGTTTTAATTATAGATTAGAGTACATACAAAATTTTCTAAAAATCGGATTAGATAACTATGTATTTTATGTATATAGTGTCTCTACTATGTGTGATTTCATGCAATTTCCGAAAAGAAAATCGAATGGTCGTCTTGCCAATTCCTTTTATTCTTTTAGAATTTCCTAAAACATCATATTCTAAAACAATTTATGAAATTAACGATACATCTATTAAAAATTATTGAATCTAACAAAAAAAATTATGTTACAGATATAATGATTGCATTTATATTTAATTTTTTATAAAAAAATCTATCTACACATTAAAAATCGTATGTAAAACATTTGCAAACTGGGCAGAAATTTCTATAATTTATTTTAAATATTAGATTGCCCTTTTTTTATAAACCTAAAACGATTTTGCTTTGGATTCGATTGATTGATACACCATATCAAAACGTGGCAGTACTAGAAAGACGTATTTACAACATTTTTTTACAACATTACACACATATATAAATATATATATATATATATATATATATAACTATTTGCCATCTTCTTGTCAAGAACAGATCGTACCAACATTTATCTACACTTAATTTATCAAAGGTCTCGATCAATGAAAACGCCATTTCTTCCCCTAACTCTCCTCCTACAATGTTCATTTGTACTTAGCCTCCATCTCCACCCACTTGATCCCTTAACCCCCGAAGAAATCAACGAAACAAGCATCATCGTCAAGAAATATCACAAAGGCAACCCCCAAGATCTCGCCTTCCATTACGTCGATCTCGAAGAACCGGACAAGAGCCATGTCCTCCGTTACCTCCACGACAAGAAGCCACGCAATATCACCAAGCCTCCATCTCGTCGCTCTCTCGTGGTGGTTCGAACCGGTGGCCAGACCCACGAGCTGGTCGTCGACCTCACCGCCTCAAAAGTCGTGTCGGACCATCTTTACACTGGCCCTGGCTTCCCACCGTTTACTTTCATCGAGCTTTTCCGAGCAAGCAAGCTTCCACTCACTTACCCTTTGTTCAAGAAATCGATTATTGGTCGAGGCTTGAACGTTTCGGAGATTTCTTGCGTGCCGTTTAGCGTCGGTTGGTACGGAGAAACGATCACGAGACGTGAGGTTAAAGCCACTTGCTTTTACAGAGAGGGGTCTGTGAACGTTTTTGCCCGACCAATCGAAGGAATCACCATAACTATTGACGTGGACTCCATGCAAATCGTGACGTACGTAGACAGAGTGACAAACCCTGTTCCTCGCTCGCAAGGTACGGACTTTCGGACCAAAAACAAGCCGTACCGTTTCTCTTGTAAAGTTTCCGACACCGGATTCGAAACCCGAGGGAATATAATCAAATGGGCGAACTGGAAATTCCACGTCGGATTCAATGCAAGAGCCGGGATAATCATATCGACGGCTTCGGTTCTTGACCCGACAAGTGGGAAGTTCAGGAGAGTGTTGTACAGAGGACACGTGTCGGAAACGTTTGTTCCGTACATGGACCCGACGTACGAGTGGTACTACCGCACGTTTATGGACATCGGAGAGTTCGGGTTCGGGAGATCCGCCGTTAATTTACAGCCGTTGATCGACTGTCCACAAAACGCTGCGTTTTTTGATGGACACGTGGCGGGACCGGATGGGTCGGCGCAGAAGATGAGCAACGTGATATGTATCTTCGAGAAGAATGGATATGGTGCTTCCTTTAGACATACTGAAATCAATGTTCCTGGACAAGTGGTGAGCCAAAATTTGAATTTAATTCATTATTAAATATATAATTTTAATTTTTAATAGTTTATTTATTTATTGTTAATATAACTTGACAGATAAATAGCGGAGATGCAGATATAACTTTGGTTGTTAGGATGGTCGCCACTCTCGGAAACTATGATTATATTATGGATTGGGAATTCCAAAAGAGTGGAGCCATGAGATTTGGGGTAACTTCTCCATTTTTATATTTAATATTATTTATACATATGCACGTAAATATTAACAATATTATAAATATCGAATTATATGCAATCAGTTCCTTCCATGTTCATTACTTCACCGAAATATTTTCATTTTTTTTATGTATATATCAAATAAAAATTGGATGGATAGGTGGCCTTGACGGGTGTTTTGGAGGTGAAAGCCACACCGTACACAAATAACGCACACATAACGGAAAACGTTCACGGAACACTAGTAGCGAAAAACACCGTCGCCGTCAACCACGACCATTACTTAACATACTACCTGGATCTTGACGTTGACGGTAACGGCAATTCCCTGGTCAAAGCCAAACTCAAAACGGCGAGAGTAACGGACGTTAAAGTCTCACCGAGAAAGAGTTACTGGACGGTCGTCAAAGAGACGGCGAAAACGGAAGCCGACGGTAGGATTCGGCTCGGCTCGGAACCGGCTGAGATTCTGATAGTGAACCCAAACAAGCATACAAAGATAGGGAACACGGTGGGATACCGGCTGATACCGGAACAGATACCGGTGACTTCTCTGTTGTCGGAAGATGACTTCCCACAGATTAGAGCCGGTTATACGAAGTATCCGGTTTGGGTGACCGCCTATAACCGGTCAGAGAGATGGGCCGGTGGGTTTTACACTGACCGGAGCCGTGGAAATGACGGCTTAGCTGTATGGAGTAGCAAGTAAGTTTTTTTTAAAAAATTTTCTTAAAACGAATCAATCCTTAATTCTTAATACCAAATTGATAAATTGTATTTAAATAATGATTTTAAAATATTTGTAATCATGTAACAGGAACAGAGATATCGAGAACAAGGACATAGTTCTATGGTACAACGTTGGGGTTCATCACATTCCTTACCAAGAAGATTTTCCGGTAATGCCAGCACTTCATGCCGGATTCTCTCTTCGGCCATCGAATTTTTTCGATCACAATCCTTTGCCCTCTGATTAGAACGGAGGGTTCAGTTTAGGGGTGCGCAAGTTGAATTATATCATTGAGATCGTTATGTTTTAATTATTTGAACAAGTAAATCTTGTGTACGATTGGTTTGGTTCATGTTTTTTAATAACATAATTAGTTCTGTTTCTGGTTTGAAGTTCATCGGATCAAGTTTTCATCGTCCAAAAAAAAATAAAAATTCTCGTATTTATTTCAGTCGAAAAAATATTTTGTATATAATTTAAGAAGAAAACAATTGGTATTTCTTTGAAAAATTTATGATAACTGTAAATTTTTTCATTATATAAGTTATTATAACCCACACTCGTAGGACAAGATTTTATTATCGACTCTTGAATGGACATCTGGGTTTCGGTTCGATATTCAAGTTCAGTTCGGGAACGATATTTTCAGTTTTATAAAAATTGTACAAAATATAACCGAATATTAACTGGTTTGGTTCGGTTTAATATCTATTCGGTTCGAAACGATATCGTTCTATGAGTACTAAATAAAATACTAAACCATGATATATACATATAGATAAATAATTCGAATTTTGATTTCGATATTTGTTGGGTTCGATTCGAATCGAAAACGGTTTATTCGATTTAATAAAAAAATATATCAAATTAGAATTGAACTTTATTCAATTCGGTTCGAAACTAAATTCTCGGACCGAAATTCCACCCTTACTTGATAATATTACATTGTGCCCATACATGTAAAAGACCAAAGCAAGCCAGAACAAACGATTATGCTTATTTCTCCAAATTAGTGAGTAGAGGATATAATTGTCAAAACGAAAAATTTGTGATGCTTCGTGAAAACGAAAGAAATTGGTGGGCTTGAGTTCAAATATACATGTCAACAGGGCACTATTAGAATTTTCTATTGACAAATAGGGGTGGGCACGCATTCCTATCCAAGATTTTTAGGGTATCCGAACCCGAATCCGACGAGTTATTCATTTCAAAACTCGAATTCATATCCAAATTTCCGGGTATCTGAACCATATTACCCGTAAGACAATTTTTGGGTGTCCGCAGATACCTAAACCCGACGGATTTATACAAATTTTAATTAAAAACTCTCAAATTTATATATTTCATACAAATAAATTATAAAATTAATGATAAATATTTATACTAAAACTAAATAAATTATAAAATGATAGTTTTTTGCATAAATAAATATAAAAAAATTAAGTATTGATAGATATACTTATAATTTTGTAATAATTTAAAAGTATATTATTTATTTTTTAACTATTTGGATATCCGCGGGTAATTATCCTATCCGAAAATACAAATCCGAATCCGAATCCGAATTTCGGATTTTAAATATATTAAAACCCGAATTCTATCTCATTATAACGCGGATAAAATTCGGATATTCAATTTTCGCATCGAGACAGATACCCGAAATTCGAGTATTTTTGCCATCTCTATTGGTAAGTGAAGGATGATGATGGGTTTCCATTGTGTAACACACCACACCACTATGTCCATCTTTTTTTGCTTTCCTCTGATCGATAATAATTATTGTATGATCTAATCATTATGTAAAGTGGTAATTTTTATTTAATTTTTGTCGTTCACAATTGCTAGAGAGTAACATGAAATAATATATAAATATAAAGCAAATCATTTGATTTCTAAGTTAACATTAAATAATACATTTTCATGATCTTTTTGGTATATTGAAATGATACCATTCGTTCATCGGATACACTGGATCATATTATTATATAATGCATCTTAGTTTTAACCAATAAAAAAATAGAAATAAAAAAATGAACAAAACGAAAATCTAGAAATTGGTGGGTGACATGTCAGCAAGCAGAGACTCTGTCTGAGAGAGAGAATTAAGAAGTGGGAATCTATTTGTCTTCGTTTGGTTCGATTCCTTTGTTCCACATATATCTCTCTCTCTCGGCCCAACCCGCACGTCACGTAAAACAACGCATAGAGCAATCGATTCTTTTTGTTCGAAGTAATCTTTTTTTCCCCCTTGAATTCCACCGAACCCATTTTCTGTGATTCCCCAAAACATCAAATTCTATGTCCAAAATCCGTGCTTTTCCTTGTCGGGAGTAGCTCGTGACGCTTAGAAGGACAGCGATGGGATCGGCCGCGGTTGCGAGTTCTTCCCTACGGACCGATGTGGCGATCTCGGGTGAGTTTCTGTAATCTCTCTCTCTCTCTCTTTAGGTTTTCGGTTTGACCCTTTGTCGGATTTTCATTGATTTTGATCTCCTTCCATTCGGGCATGGTTTCCGAGATCGAATGGGTGGGAAGGGATGCGGGATTGGAAGATTTGTTCTGGTATCGAGATCTGTATTGCAACTTTTGATTTGTTTGGTTCCAACATGCGTATGTTTGTGCCCTGAACGAGGCTTGGATATTGATGGTACGCCACAGTTCAGAGAATTACAACTTATTACCCCGGGGAAGGAGTCGTAAGTCCCTTTAGTTTAGCGGTGTTGGATTAGCATTGAAGGCTTAGGTGTTCAGCTTCAACGAGGTTTAAGGTCATGGATAAGAAAATATATTGACTTTATGAGCTTTTTTTTGTTCAATGTCAAATGGATAATGCTTTAACCGAGGGTCGTTTTGCTTCATCTATATAGGGTAAGTAGTTAATTTCATAAATTTCATTGTGGTTAGTTGAAGGTTGTACTGAGTGTTTCGGAAACTGTGGTGTTTTTGACCAGACAGATCTTTCTAAACTTGTGAAATTTCTGATTCGTTTGAAGCTTTTCCCTGTCGGATTCAGTTGCTGTTACGTACGTGGAACAAGGGGTTCTGTTTATTACTAGTCATGGACGAGCCCAAACTGAAGCTATAAGAAAGATGGCTTTCTAATAGAATGCATAAGATCCTCTTTATACAAAATGGACAAGGAGCTGTTTCATTGGATGTCTAGAGTTTAAATTTGCATTTTTCATTTGATTATGAACCAAACATAGGGGCAGATAGAACGATAGCTTGATGAAGCAGACATTTTCACCACAGATTCCATATTCACAAAATCTGTAGCAGGGAAATTTTGTCCTTTTCCGGTGAATAATGCAATATCCGTTTCTTGCAGCTCTGCGTCAGAAGCACGAATTGGAGCTGGAGAATCTGACGCTGACAACACAACCCTTGAATACATCGAAGTTCTTTGTTCTCGCTATTGTTCAGTACATCCGGCAATCAATATCGTATCTTTTGGCCCATGGGGGTTTGTTCATGCTTTTAAGTACTTTGGTAGCGGCATTTGGCGTCTTGCTTGTGATGGTCGATGGACCTCATGGAAAGGTAAAAGTTTGAGTCTTTATCGTATTTCTGAAAGTGAAAATGGTTATGTTAATGTGGGAGGATGGCTGAGAACTCGACTAGACTTTACCTTATCGTGTTTTTCATTTTACAGCACGTTGAAGAACTATCAGAGTACATCCGATTTGGGTTATGGTGGATAGCTCTTGGGGTTGCATCTTCAATTGGACTTGGTTAGTAAACCTTGTCAAAATGGAACTTGTCAAAGCATTCACTTGCAGAAAGGGGACCAATTTACTCATAGGATAGCTATATTGTTATAAGTTTCAGCATCCCAAAGCAATTAATCTTTTTCTCTTGTCTCGTAGGATCTGGCCTCCACACATTCGTTCTCTATCTGGGTCCCCATATTGCCTTGTTCACCATAAAGGCAACACAATGTGGCCGAGTTGATCTAAAGTCCGCACCATATGATACAATACAATTGAAGCGAGGTCCTTCATGGCTTGATAAACCTTGTTCTGAATTTGGGCCTCCATTAATTACATCAGCTCCCGGACATCGTTTGCCCCTTACCACCATATTGCCTCAGGTCCAATTAGAGGCAATTCTATGGGGTGTTGGGACTGCTCTAGGGGAGCTTCCTCCTTATTTTATCTCGAGGGCAGGTACTAAATATTACTGTTTCTAGATTTATTTACGACATTGTTTTGAAGTGTAACGGGATTTCAATATCTCACACGTTTAGCCGATAAAAATGGACACAGTCACGAAATAGTATAGGAGGAATACTTCCTTTTGACCCTTTAACTTGTTTTCTTGTGATAAGAAATATGTATGAATATTTCTAATACAGTTATTTGTTTGATGTTTTCTTTCCATTTTCTTCAGCAAGTCTTTCTGGGAGCAGAGTGGATGGCATGGAAGAATTAGATTCTTCCTCAGCTGAGGATAGTGGATTTATGGCTAACCTTCTGAACCGCATAAAGCGATGGCTTTTGTCTCACTCTCAACACTTGAGTTTCTTTACCATCCTGGTTCTCGCCTCGGTCAGTATACATCTCAGCAATTTGCGTATTACGTGGTTGTGATCGTGTTTACTACACACAAAATCACTCAAATCTCTTCAGAATTTTCTGGAACTCGTTACAAATTTTAATGCTCGAGGTTCGTTTTTGGGCGTCCCGGCCTACTCTTAGGATTGATTCCCCGGAACTTTTCTAACGCTTTGAATTAGGATTACTGAAAGTACTTTCATCAACAATGTACATACTCTTGAAATTTGTGAAGCAAAATGGTTATCCTTCTGGTGCCCATCTGTTGGAGAAATTCGTTTTCTGTAGAGAAAAGGAAAAGTTGAAGTTCTAATGGAGTAGGAAATTGTATCAGGTCTTTCATTTTCTTGCGTAGTCACCTTTAACTGGTGCAAAAAGCGTTTCTTTACCAGTTCATGCCGATGTAAGAGCAGAGTATTGGCCTTGAGAAAATCAGAAAGTTTCTAACTGATGTGTTCTTAGGTTCTTCTAGACAATGTGGTGCAGTTAACAATTTAGACTTAGATTTGCAATTTCCACCAAATGAAAGCAGGTCCCGAATCCTCTCTTTGACCTCGCTGGAATAATGTGTGGACAATTCGGGATTCCTTTCTGGGAATTTTTTCTGGCAACTCTAATGGGTAAGGCAATCATCAAAACTCACATACAGGTATGTAAACCTCATGTTTCATTCAAGCGTTCTTCTCCTTACTGGATAAAAAACTCTTGACCGAGTCTTTTCTTACTCGGGGATCTTTCTTTCTACCGTGTTCCTGTCCAGACAATTTTTATCATCTGCGTGTGTAATAATCAGCTTCTCGACTGGATGGAGAACGAGTTGATTTGGGTGCTTAGCCATGTGCCTGGTTTGGCCTCTCTTCTGCCTGATCTGACAGCCAAACTTCACAGCATGAAAGCTAAGTACCTTGACACTCCACCTCCTGTTCCTTCCCATGTCAAGGTAAGTTTAAAAAGAAAAAATCTTGTGCTTTCCCACTTCACGTGTGTTGTAAAGTTCAAAACTTTTACAGATTTCTGATCCTTATCCACGTTTTTCTGTAGGAAATACCTTTGATCATGTGTAGGAAATCTCAGGGTTTTAGCAGATTTTGTATAACCTCATTTCCTGCATGGGAATTCCTGTTTGGCAGGTCAAGAACTGGGATTTCTCGTTTGCATCAATGTGGAACGGGATCGTATGGCTAATGCTCCTAAACTTCTTCGTCAAGATCGTGACAGCAACTGCCCAGAGACACCTGAAGAAGCAACAGGAGAAGGAGTTGGCCGCCCTGACTCATTCAGATTAAGAAAATCCCACAAAGAAAGATCAGGAGAATCACATTCTTCCCTGTTTTCCAATGAAAAGAATACCCGAGGAAAACCCGAGAGAGGAATAACGAAAACGTCTTTGGCTTCCTCGCCCCGTCGAAGCATTGTTAGCAGATAGGGAAAGCAAGAGAGAAACTGTCTGGATTGATGGATCAATCCAGGGTTTGATCAATGCATAGGAAATAGGGAGGATCTGGGAATCGAGGAGAGGTTTGTTTTTGGATCCTGTGATTCTGGACAAGTTTGGATAAAGAAAGAAAGAAGAAGATATTCCTTTTGTTGAACTTGTTATTCTTATTCTTTTGCAAATGCAAAAGGACAACGTTCGTCTCTTGTTATCGTTGTTGTGATTTTACCTTTTTTTTTATTATTTATTATTATTAGTATTATTATTATTTTGTATTGTCGCTTTGTGTTATACACGTGGTGTTTTGCTCACAGATGGATGCAGAGTGGGCATTTTCTTGGGCCTTGCATATCTGGATTTAATGGGCCTCTTCATTCTTAGGCCCAATAACTATGCACCCAGAAAAGAAAGAGAGATATAATGTTTATAATACAAAGTCCAGTTATGCTTGGGTCCACATAGTTGAATAATGGGCCGTTAGATCACTAGAATATACCGTGGGGTCCAGTCCTTATCTGGGACCCACATTTTGATGCCCTCGATTGAAAACAAAACAATAATAATAATAATAATAATAATAATAATAATAATAATAATAATAATAATAATAATAACAACAACTTACCGATATTTCTTTTATATTAAAAGTCTATACTTCAAATTTTTAAATCTAAAAAAAAAGAGTAATGATTGATTGAGGTAGATAGTTTAATAATAATTCTAGTTCTGGAACTTTATAACATTGACATCTCAAATAATTAACTACTAGTTGACTAAATAATATTTTAATGATTAAGGAATGACTATATAAAAATAAAATTTATATGTCTTACCCAATATTTGCCTATTTGGTGGTCCAATATGTCTTACCCAATATTTGGTAGTCCAATGGTTGAGAAAAGATAAAATCATTTTGAAAGTGTTGGATTTAATTTTACTGGGACTAAAAATTAATTATAAACCCAAGAATTAAATAGACCAAAGGTATAAAACAATTCATAAGCCATCGCAATTGCTTGTTAACTATTCATGAGTAAATATAAAAATCCATTATTTGGTAGACAGAAAAAAGAAAAAGATTTAAACCTTACTAACAAAAAAAGAAAAGAAAACGATTTACACGTCAGCACTTGACTTTTCTCCTAAAATGTGTAGACAAAAATACTACCATTTTGCCATGTCACATAGAGAGAGAGAGAAAATAATAAAAGATATAGTTATTGGTCAAAATAGAATTATATATATATATATAAGTGGAAAGGTAATATCAAGGTGCACTTGACCAAAACGTGAGACGCTCTGGTCCGACTTTTGGCAGTGCATGGGCCCCATGTTTCCTTTCCGTTCACACTTGCACAAAAATAGTTTTTAATTCCAAAAAAATAATAATAATTTGTGCATATATATATATATATATATATATATATATATAATGGAGAGAGAAAAGTTCCTTTTTTTTTTCTTTCCAATTCCAACAGGAGATCCGACTACATTAATCGGGAAGAAAATGCCAAAAGGAGATCCGACTAACTGTGGGTCCATCCATCACGTGGAGGAGGGGCTATAGAAAGACAAAGATTTAATAATAATAATATTATTAAAATTTAAAAAAAAAGCTTTTACCATTCGTTTCTGTTAGAATACTATAACTTGTACAGAGTTCTTGAAAAACCAAGACAAAAAGAAAGATTGTCTTCTGTCCTCTCGTGGGTCTTTCTGGGGAGTGTTCCTCCCAGCTTTTCTTGCCGACTGATGCTTGCCTTGTAACAACAGCAAACATCCGAAGGCTCTGTCCTAGTTTCCAAAGCCTTCTGTTCTGCCTCTTCAACGCTCACGCCCTCTGTCTCTCGATGAGCTTAAATTAACAAGGGGGGTTTAGGGATTTGGTCTATTTCACTCACCGGCTTGTTGCTTCTGGTCTGCAGGTTTCACCGGAACCGCAGAGGGTACAGCATGAACATAAGGGAACCCGGGCGGAACAACGAGCTGATGATGCGTCTTCCCGGGTGGTGGCAGCTGAGCAGCAGAACCATACGGACCCGATGAGTTGGTGACTGCCAGGTTCCCGCCTTTCATGTTATTAGCGGCCATGGCAGCTGCAGCGGCCACAGCTATGGCCTTAGCAGGGTCAGATGTGGCTGGGGTAATGGTCGTGCTGGAGACGGCAACTGGGGGGGTCTGGGAATGAGCTGTTGCGGCGGGTGACGAGCCATGTAGCTGCTGCTGATGTCTCTGGAGGTAATATCCACTCACAGACTGCTGTTGAGGTGGTTGGATATAATGGTTAGAGAAGAAAAGCTGACCCTGCTGCTGCTGGTGTGGAGGAACTTGGGGCTTGGACCCAGCCCCCGACGTGGCCGGGGGAGTTACATTAGGGTTACCGAGTACAGATGGGCCATTCCCATTCCCGTTCCTCCCACCGCTCGCTGCTGATGCAGATGATGCTGATGAGTTATGAACCGATGCTGTTTGAGGGTTCTTAGATGGCTGCGATGATGCCGATGTAGTTGTTCTCGGGCTCCCCACGTTTTTGGACACGGAAGAGGTAGAGGGAGACCCGACTAGCATCGGAGGGGACTGAGACTGCTGTATTGGTGGACCAGACATCAGAGATTTAGAGTTTCCCGCAAATGATATCTGCCCTTGCTGAGGCCGACCTTGCTGTTTCGGAGCAACGGATTTTAGAGACGGAGCAGCAGATGATGGCAGTACCTGGGTCGGGTTCGTCCTGGAGGAACTGTTCTTCCACTGAGAATGATTTTGAGGAAACCCGGAATTAGCATTAAGAAACTTGCCTCCGACACGGTGATCTGGGAAAACACTTCCATTACTTGTCACCGATCCTTTGCTTTTTGCCGCAGAACCTGCAGCTGCAGCAGTGGCATACTGTTGTTGCTTCTGGAGATAAATGGTGTATTGCTGCTGCTGCTGGTGGTGAGAGTTCTGCATAGAGGTGCAAGTCCGGGGAGGAGCAGGCCCAAGATTGAGTAGCCCAGCAGAGCTATCAATGGCACCACTACCCGTTACCTCGGAACCAGACTCATCGGCTAAATCTGGCTTACTAGAGAAAGCAATAGACTGAGTTGTTTTTCCTGTTCCTCCAGTCTTCCGTTCTTCCATGGCATTAGCAGTGGCATTACGACGAGATTTTCCATCTTCAGGTGGATTATAGTTCATTTTCGGTTGAGCAGCTGCCATCACCTGGTGATAGCCTTGCCTTGCTGCCGCCGCCGCCTCTGGGAGGCTATGGAAGATAGCATGATTCTGAGCAATGGCAGGCATATTAAGACCGGGAGGATTAGCCCCGTTGAATGTTGCAAACGCCATAGCATAGGCCTGAGACTGAAGGGATTCCACATCGGACGCCTTGGACCCCTGCCGTTGCGGTTTCTTCTCACTGGCGGCCACTGCACCACCCGAGGCTGCTGAATTCATCAAACCCAAGTTCGTTGGTTGTTGCATCGGCATAGCAAAGTTCTTCTGGCCATATGCAACATTGGAGCGAGTGAGCCGGCTATCAGCAGTTGACGGGCTATCGTCCATGGCGGTTCCACTCTGCTGAGTCGTGTTTTCTCTTGGCGGCTGCTGCTGTCTCTGCTGAAAGCTTAAAGGCTGAGAAGATTGAACCTTCGAAGTTGGAAAACCTTGTGGGTTCCCGGGATTCATCGGAGGCCTCTGCTGTTGGTTCTGGAATTGCTTTTGTGCTGCAGAGGAACCACAGGCAAGGGATGTGATCTGGTTGTTGCTAGAAGCTTGGCCCTGTTGTCCCTGACCAGATTGTTGCTGCTGTGGCTGAAGATGAGGAGGAGGATGGATCATTTGAGAGGAATAGAATGGACCGCTAAAGAACGGTATCGGCTGCCCAGACACTCCTCTGTAAGCAGGCGGTGGTGCGCCAATGTGGGCCGGGACTGGAAATGGGTAACCGTTGTTCGGCAGGATAGCCAGGTACTGAGTCTCATTGCCCGGCATGTTCGGGTAGCTGAAGCTCATTGTTGTGGCTCCAGATTGGGGGGCCGGGGCAGAGCCATTCACAGAGGAAGAAGAAGCGGAAGCGGCAGAGGAAGCTGTGTTGCCGCTCATAACCGGCGGCCTGACAGAAGCAGCGGCTATTGCAGAAGCAGCATGCGGTTGCTGGCCCAATGGAAAAATAAATGCTGGGCCATGCTACAACCAAAAAAAAAACCCAAAAGAAACGATCAAAATCTACGGAAAAGAAGCTCGATAGTACGAGAAACCTGGGAGGAAAGGCGAAAACTTTACCAAGATGTTACTAGGTGCTCCTGGAGGCAAAGCTTGCTGAAGCAATATCTGAGTCCTCTGGCTCGTTTCCGAGGTAGTATTAATAGACTGAGAGCTCTTATCTGATGCCGAATTGGCAGTCCTACCCAAAACATTTCCTTGCAGTTCAGTGGATGGAACAGGATTCGGATTGCAGGCCTTTGCACCATACAGCGATGCTGAGCCTGCCGCTGGCCAGAACGGATTCATTTTCATGAACTGTTGATGGTAATGAATGTTCCGGGCGATATAACAGTGAGTCGCACATTTCTTCGGCCTCGGTTGATTAAAAAACAAATGGGGAGGCTGTAAATATCAATGGAATTAGAATCAGAAAAGAACCGGGAAGAGAAGTCAGCGGGGCGCAGAGGAGTGAAAGGCACTACAAGAACCTGCATTGTTGCAGAAGGTAAAGAGCTTGAATCCATTGGTACAACTCCCTGTGTAGGTGCCATGCATCTGTCCATATCCGGAGTTTTTTTTTTTCAACTTCAGGAAGTGAAAAAAAAGAGTAGCTTGGGAAAAAAATTACTAAATCACTTGTAAAGTTACCCGAGCATACCCCATTGTAGGAAGGCCTCCAGGCCAACCAGCCATTGACATGTGAAGAGGCAAATGACTCGCCTGAGCTGCAAAAATTGAACAAAAAGATTGACCCAAATGAATAAAAACACCAAAAAAACAGCAGCTCAAAAGAAAGAAGGAAGCTTTTTTTTTTTCCTTTTTGGTTCTTGATACAGAGAAGAAGATCATAAAGGCAGAACTTTACCAGCTTTCTCGGCACAGGGCATTTGCTGCTGTGTCTGCTTCTGGACATGGTGGTGATTTAACTTGTTCAAGCCCAAACCAGTAGTGGAGACAGTCTTCGCTCCGGGGGTTTCCAGATCAAGCTTGAGTTCTGTGTTCATCTCTGATTTCTGGAATTCAGATTCCAGCTTTCTGGGTTTCTTCCCATCAGGCTCCCGGATCGAAGAATCTTCCTTGCATCCCGATTTCTCAGCGTTGGAGTCGTTTTCCTTTGGTAGAGGCTTAGCATTTTCCTGTTGTCATACCAAAAAACAACACAAAGATCACCCACTATCACAATAGGGGAAGATAAAGGAGGAACCGAAACCAAATTTAATTAAAAGAAAAAGGAAGATAGAAAGAGAAAAAAAAAAGCACAATCATTAATGGATATCCTCCGTTATCACCAAAACAAACAAAAAAAAGGGCAGTAGGACCCACACTCACCGTTTCCACATCCGTGGCTTTAGGTTTAACCTCTATCACCACACATTTCTTCTCTCCATCTCTCTCCGGTGACGATCTCGCCGGCGGTGGCGCCTGAATTTATGAACGAGTAAACAGAGAACCGTCGAAAATCAGAAAAAAAAAATTGGAACTTTTTTTTTATGGGGTTGCGGGAAAAATGTTGAATTTAATTAAATAAATAAATAAAACCCACCATCAGATCTATCTTTAACTTCTCCTTTTCCGGGGATGGCAAAATCCTACATGACAAAAATAAGAGAAAACGGCCTCTTGAGCACCATAATAAGGAGGAAAAAAAATCCACAGAAGAATAGACAGAGAATCTTGTTTCCTTACGCTTTAGCGGCTATGGTGACAACGCCGTCGCCATCGGATCTAACCCCAGAGGAACCTTCCATCTTCGTTGATACAGATTCATCTTTGGTCAAGCTGCTATCTTTTTTTACCATAGATCTCGATTCTAGAGACGGCTTGCTTCCTCGATCCGCCTTCAGTGGCGGAGGAGCTGATATGCCTGCCGGACTCGTCGACTCCAATACGGAGCTGTTTTCTTCGGTGGATCCTGAAATCTTCGAAGGAGCATCGGCTTCCGCCTTTACGGTGGAGGAGATGGAACTCATACCAGATGGTAAAACGGAATTGTTCTCGTCTTCGTATTTGACGGGTCTCGGCCTCTTCCTCTTGGGAGCTGCGATAAGTGAACAGAAAAGGAGTACGGACATAAATCTGATCAGAAACCCATGAAACGATCACAGAATGGCAGATCGAGAGAGCCAGAGATGACAGACCGGTGGCCGACCCATTAGACGAGCTAGAATTTGTGGCGAGAGTGACAGAGGACTGAGGAAGAATGTAAGGTGAGTTGGAGATCGGAGATTTGAGGTCTCCCGTTGATTTGGCACCGGGATTGACATTTTCGGCATCTCGGGATTCATTCACGGCGGTTTCTTGCTTCGACGGTTCCATCGGCTGCCTCATCATGCCGTACAACACTTCCGCGATCTCGATCTCGATCTCGTCCTGAGCCGCCATAGGAGAAGACGGCTTGCACGACGACGACGACTTGGGAGGCAGTGGCTTCTGTTTCGGCGCCGAAGACTGTGACCCAGAGATAGATTCCATTAATCGAAACAGAGAAGATGAAGGAGATGGAGACGAAGATGAGTTAAAACTGAGATACTGACAATCTTCTTCCGGGCGGAAACGCTGGAGGAAGATGGCGACGGAGGAGCTGGTGGAGAAGGTGAAGCTAGCATCGAAGCAGGACTGACCCTCGCCGGAGACGTCGAGACTTGGCGGTGAATTTGCTCTCCACCGGCGAAAACGCCACCGCTCGATGCCCACGACTCGTGCGGTCTCTTCGTAGATGCTGAAACCGAAAACACAACAAAAAAAAGTTAAAGAAAAAAAAAAAGATATATTTGTGAAGATCACACTGTCATCGAAAATTTTCCACCTCTCTACCTGACCGGGCTTTTCTCGGAACCGAAACGCCGATCATCTCGTCGGCGGCCTTCCACGACGGCACAATCGGAGATATCGCCACAGCCGCAGACGGCGTCGACGCCGGAGAAGGAGACGATCTGAAAACTTTCGCCGGAGGAAAGCTCTTCCTCTGGTGGGGATTACCACCACCGCTGTGGTGGTTCGACAACGAGGTCGTACTGAAATTACTCGCCGGCGGGAGCATCTTCACCAAAGACGGTGGTCCTCCGCCTCCTCCCCCGTCGTCGTATTCCTCGTCGTCGTTGATGCTCTCCTCGGAGCTCTCATCGCCGCCGTCGTCCATGTTCCCGTACATCGTCATCAACCGGTCTCCTCTTTTCCTCTTGCTCCGACTATTAAACCGGTCTCTCTCTCTCTCCCTCTCCCTCTCCCTATCTCTGTCACGCTCTCGATCTCGATCTCGATCCTTCTTCCCACTCGGTCCCCTATCTCTCAGCCTCGCCACCTCCGGAAACTCCACCGGACCATCATCCTCTGCAAAACCCAAACAAAATGCCCAAAATCGTCAAAGAAATGACGAAATAAGACCCGTTTTCTCTCAGATCTGGAGAAAACTTCGACAAAGACCAAGAACCAATGAACAGACCTGGAGAGTCCCGGAAACTTCCGGCTCTATACCTCCGTCGAGACAAACCATTCCCGGCGGCCGCCATGGTTACTCTTCGAGCTTCTCTATTTCTATCCATCTCTCTCTCTCTCTGCGCTTCGCTTCCTTCTTCCCTAATCGCACTCTTTCTACTCGCTTCCCATTATCTCCTCTATTTGTGCTCATAATAAAAGCAGTATCGAAAACAATCAACGGCTCATATCTCCTGCCATAAATCCTTTCCCGCAATATCCACCGTCGGTGTGGATAGATCCAACGGCCTTAATTATCTATATAGCCAGCGTGGCTAAATCTGGACCCTCCAAGTTTTTTCTTTTTTTTCGCCCTCCCTAAAAGAACTATCGGATAAATTTAATAAACCTGATATTTTTTTTTCTTTTTGGGGAAACGTTCTTTTTTTATTTATGAAGCATCTGCAAATTTTTATTATAAAATCATAATGTAATATCTGGAGATTTATTTCGTACTGTTACCGTTAATTTAAGGGTCTGCCACGTGTCACCCTGTTGAACGTAATAATATATATATTTTTTCGCTGTAACGAGGATATAAAATAATAATAAAACTGGAGACCACCACAATGACGATGGTATGAAACGAGCAAAATAACAAATAATACTAATAAAATATCTCGATTAAAAAAGACCGTACACGCACATATATATATATATATAGTTCATAAAATATTAATATTTTTAAATAAAAACATATCTGAAAAGATGTTGTGGACCGGCTATTGCCGGTTGTCACATACCTTTTTTTTAAATATAACGGATTGAAAATAATAAAATTTATTTTTTTAGCTTTTGGGACCAATAATAATTTGATGGGAGTATATAATATAATAGGGAGGGGCGAACTAATTTCTATGCTTCCAAAGTAAGGAAGAAGGACCCCACGTAATTTAAAAAAAATAACGAAATTAACTCTTAATTAAGGATGGAGGGCTGAGATCTTCTGTTTAGTCAACCAAGAAGCCTCATTAGCCGTTGGATTCGTTGATTTTATTTTCCGTCGTCTTTTCTCTCTCGCATCTGACATGGCAGGAAGAAAGCGTCATCCCGTAAAGGGGGTCCGAGTTGGCACCCGACCGATTGATCTGATCCGTTGAAATGGGAAATAATCAACGGCTCCGATCAGAGGAAGGGAAAAATGGTGGGACCCCTTACTCGAGTCGCGGTCGCTGAACTTCCAAAATGTGGGCCCCGTAGTCACGTAGCCGGCATCGTATAGTTTTTGGTCTCCCTATTTATATTTTACGCATGGAACAGAGTTTCTGCATAAAAATGGAAACTAAACCTAACGATTAAATATAACCAAGTAATAATATCTTTTCACCGACTAAAAAGGTGCATGGTTAGATCATATGCTAAATGTAGCATATAATATATATATATATATATATATATATATATATTGAGAATATCGTTTGGTTTTTTACTTTGGCGATTAGTGACGTGGATGGGTCCCACTTACAATATAAATCTTTTAATTTTAAACCGAGAAGCATGGTCAGAATTAACTGCGGGGTTAAATAGAGCGGTGAAGCTCCACACGCTACATGGCGCGTGTATGAGAAACCATATCCACGTGGTTTTAGGGATATTGCCACGTGGATGAAGCTGAGACCGAAACGTGGAATTTCTCTCCTCCTTATTCGTCGCCTTGGATCTTGTTTTTGTCAAAGCTGCTCCTTCGCCTTTTCATGTGGTCGTGAAGCGTGTAAATATCTCTAAACGCAAAGGAGAGCGATATCCTCACGGGCCGTTCACGGATGATCCGCGAAACAGTCCATTTACTTCCACGTGGCATGATAATATTCGTCGGGTGATTTACACGTCCGTGGAGGTGCGTCACCTAACCGACAGACGAGGGTACGTACGATTTAAATATTCTCGTGTAACGATATGCCACGAATGATAAATGGGTCCCACGGAATGGATTTGTCGGCTTTGTTGTGTATATTTTAATCGTTATGGTAAATATATTACAAAATGAAATGCCACGTGGCATATGATGGCCAATCATTTGTCTTACGTGGCAAATCCAGTGACCGTTTGCTTAACCCTAGCCGTCAAAGACAAATTTCTACTATTCATTTTTTTAACAATAAAGTTAAATTGCTTTTTTAATAATTTAATATTAAGATATCATTAGATTTAGACATTAGGTCAGTGCAGCTAATTTTTTATTTTATTATTACTTGAAAATTATAATATATTCATTGTATGTGAAGATACTGTACATTAAAAAAAAATCCTCCATGGGCGCACCACGGCAAATTGTATGCTCTTTTGTATTTACCTTCTGTGAGAGAAAATAAGGTAAAATAAAGTCGAATCCTCATTTATAGAAAATAAATAAATATATAAGATAATATTTTTAGATACCATATAGGGCTTTAAAATATTATACAAGGAAAGAAATTATGCAAGGATGTATTTGCTTAAATTTCTTCATCCAACATCTTGAAAAAAATATTAAAATACTTCTTATTTAAAAAATAGGATGTATTTGCTTGAATTTGTAGAAGATAATGTTTTAAAACTTATCTACAATATTCCAAGAGCAAAAACAATATTAAAAACGGCTCTATTAGTCTTGATTAAATAAAGTGGACGAGATCCATAACGATTTTTTTAATATACAAACTTATATGATATACTGATATATAATAAAAAAATAATTGTAGGAAAAAAAAAGTCGTAAAAAGTGGGACAGAGCTTGTTGTCATAATGTCGTGATGCAGTGCATTTCAATAGTTTTTTTTAATCTATTCGAAGTGATCTACATTTTTTAAAACTAAAAAAATGTCAGAATCCAAACCAAAAAAAAATAAAATATTACATATTGTTACGCCATTATTTTGACATTTACTTGCTATGATTAATTGGGGAATTCCAATAAAAATCCAGTATTTTTTTTCCGTGATAATTTAAACCCTATATTTTTCTGTTGATAAAAATAATTCTATACTTTTATAAATTGGTAAATAAAACTCTGTACTTTTAAAAATTGCAAATAAAACTCTGAACAAAAAAAAATATTTATTGATGATATGATATCCTAATCACATACTACATCATCAACACTAATATTTAATAATATTAATCAATAAAAAATAATATTAATAAAAATAAAATTTTAGAAATTATACACATTCATATACACATATACCACACATACATATATAATGAAATGATATACATATATACATATATATACAAACATATTTATATACACATATATACATATAATACATATATATATATAATAATTTTTAGAAAAAATACATATATAACACATACATATAAAACATATAATTATATGTATTATATAGACATACATATATATGTATAATTATATGTTTTATATGTATGTGTTATATGTGTATTTTTTCTAAAAATCATTATACATATATATGTATTATATGTACATATGTGTGTATAGACATATGTTTATATATATGTATATATGTATATCATTTCATTATATATGTATGTGTGATATATATGTATATGAATATGTATAATTTTTAAAATTTTATTTTTATTAATATTATTTTTTATCTTTTTTATTAATTAATATTATTAAATATTAGAGTTGATGATATGGTATGTGACTAGGATGCCATGTCATCATTAAAAATTATTTTTTTTTTCGTTCAAAGGATAGTATAGAAATTTATTTGCCAATTTTTAAAAGTATAAGATTTTTTTCGATCAAAAGAAAAATATAGGGTTTAAATTGTGAGGAGAAAAAAATATAGAGTTTTTGTTGGGATTTTTCTATTTTTTTTATATTTAATTAGGTGACTATATATATATATTTCTGATATATGTGTTTCAAATCTGTATTTTCGGATTTTCTATCACCAATTTCAGATTCGTGACTATTCGAATCTGGGTCGGAGTCACACTAAATCCTCAATTGTGTAATTAATCGGATAACCCATTGGATATATGCATGCATATCCTTAGGAAATGTAACGTAAACCTAAAACCATAATGCAAGAACACATTAGCTAAAAAGATTCAAATGCACAAAAAGTTACAAGAAATCTGCATCTTCTGAGTTATCGACTGAGTTTCGCATCTTCTTTCATGTTCTGTCCCCTCCGAGAATCTTGGACTGATTGTGTGTGTGTGTACACTTCTATGATCGGCTTCTCTTTTTTTTTTGGGTGCGTTCACTCACTTGAGTATGCTTCTTGAACTCGGCTTCCGCGTGAGTGATTCGATCAAACGGAACATCCAACGATCCAGCATTCCTGTCGTAAAGATAAGACGGTCGGAACAAGAAATGATGCCTTAGATTCTCAATATTTCAATTCAGGAAAAGTTCGGGAAAGCAGATGTAAAAGATAACGAACCCGTCAAAGCGAATGTACCGCCCAACACAGCGCAAAGCCGGGTGATGAAATGGAGAAAACTACGACGTTCTTCCTTGATTGTCACCGTGATTGGCGACAGATCGTATAAGAAGTAAACCGCTAAAAAGAGAGAAAAGAATCAAGATCACCCCAAGAAACAGAACAATGGTATCTGCAGGTACAAGGAATGGATTTAGGGTTTTAAGGCGTAAAAAACCTGGCCATGTACGGTCAAACTCCCTCATTGGCAAGTAGTATTCCGTCACAGAGAACTGATTAGTTGACAGAACTTCTTTTGAGAGGTATCTATACTCTGTCGGAACAATCTGTGGCAGAGCAGAAAGAAGGTCAAGAACAAGAACATTATACAAGAAACACCGAATTTCAAGAAATGGATGGCGCCCTAATCTATCAGAATGCATACTATATCGTCACCGGACCCGAGGATAACATACATATAGCCATGATACATCGTTATGACGAAAGGGACAGGGACAGGGACAGGGACAGGGACAAAGACTCGGATAAACAAACCTTTATGTAGTATTTGAATGTTCCGCTTGTGTCGTGCAGAATTCGCACTGTGCCATCGAGTGGGTTGTGAATTCCGGGGTACTTCGGCCCAAATGATAAGTCGTGAATTATATGACTCACGTTTACATTTTTGGACCCTCCAAAAATCTGTTCAATGTGTAAAGACATTAAGTGCTAATTAGTTACATGATAAAAAAATATTAGCATGTGAAATTTCTTGTTAATCTCAGAGGAAGAAAGATTAAGACAGGGAAAACCAAGAAGTAGCTTCTCTATCTAACTCAGTTGTATCCTTTAGATTAAGCTATGCTGAGTTCTGAGATGATAGATGTTTCTAAAGTCTGGTCTTTTACTGTCACTAGTAAAATAAAATGTAATGATTATGTGAAAATCATAAGATGATTCATAAAACTTATCCCATGAATTGAAGTTTCACAGTTAAATGCCGGTAAAAAGGTTTCCAATATAAGAAGATAAAAATGATACCAACCGTCTGAGCAACGTAAATGTTCAAGCCATGCACTGAGATGTGGAAGTTTCCAGCAACCCTTTGAACATCTAGAACACCATAGACCTGCAAAATTATTCACCCGAAGAATTGAGCCTCCATTTTCATGAAAGGTATTAATTAATGGAACATTACCAACCGTATTAACACAAAAGCAAAATTTAATACCCGACATCCTTCTCCATTTTCCAATGCTTCCTTCACCTTCTTAATCATCTTCTCAGCAGCTTGATCAAATCCCAAAAAATTGAATGTTTCGGTATGATCCTTATGTTCTTCTTTCCCGTCTTCTTCAGTGAGCACATCAAAACCATGTTAAAACAAATTTCAACATCCACATAGAACCGCCATACAGTTCGATTTTATGTTATTTCAAAAGTTATTGAAACGATAACCACAGAAGGTACCAAATCAGGGGAGGTTCCATGAAGCCAAGTGTATTACCATGCTTGTGATGAGATGATGAATGATCATGTTCCTTTTCAACAAGATCAGATATATACTCCGTGCCAATGATATGACCATGGCCGTTGAGACGGAGCTGCATATAGTCATAATTTGTCAGAAAAAAGCTTAATATGATTGAAGCTCAGCACTACTTAAAGTGAGCCCGATAAAGAACAGGATATGGAGACGGTCCAAGGTTATCCATGCATAGGAATTATGATGCACTACATACAATTTCGGTAATGCCTTAGTGTTATTCTGATTGAAGAGGAGAAGTAATATGAAGAAGCTCAGGATTTTACAGAGCATCTTAACACAATGGATTAGGGTTTAACAGAAAAAGATCTGCCAATATCTTACTTTCCAAATGTTTGTGTCAAGATCCACTTCATGCTTGCCCGACATGTCGATAGCATCCACACTCAATACTACAAAACAAAGAAGAAAGAAAAGATGAAGCCCATCAGAAGGTATGAAAACAAGAACATATAAATAATCAAATGGATGACTTAAAAGTTACCGTCACAAGGCAAAGAAGGAAATGTCACGTTTATATGGATTGGAAGAGTTTCTCCACGCTTTAAGTCCACTGACATCTAGAATCCAAAACCAATTTTGATTAGATCAGATATATAAATCCAAATGAAGAGTAAGCTATTAAGCTTTATGAACTATATCAAGTTGTAAAAAAGTCCAATTACTAAGTTATCAATGAACTTGAATCGATAGGGCAAGAGAGTCTTAATCCTATTTTGCATTACCTCATCTGACAAGATAATGATCTTGAGAAAGATGAATATATACCATTCACATCAACCATTAACCAACTGACCAAATTGGTGAAATTAAACCTGAGCTCTTATTTGATTCCACTAATCAAACAACGCGTATAATTTCAAAGAGACAGCAAGTGCAAAAATACTGTCACTCACACATCATCCAGACATACAAACAAAGCGTATAATTTCATGTAATGTATGTTGCTTCATAACTTCACAAGGCATACAGAAGAGACGATCACGATAAGGGATATATCCTTAGCAGTTACAAGACAAAGCCAGGGCAGTGAAACAGATTCTGTCCGAACTGAATACATACCTGATGAACTGTAACTGTGTTGAGATAGTAACTGAGCTCGTGCAAGAACAAAGTGACCATTACAACGAGGCCAATAACCGACACTGGTAAAAACAACACGATTCATTACTCAAAATTGCAAATACACATCAAGATTTCAAAGCAAAGAGAGAATCAAATCCGCTACCGATGGCACCGGATTGCGTCTTCTGAAGCAAGTGATCCTCTGCCCGAGGAAACGCATCAAGGCTCCTCAGAGCCTGCTTCACACCCATGTTCCTCTCTTCTTCGAAATCAAAGACTTTTACGCTCACTATTGATTCGAATCCTATCAGACCATAAACCAGCATCAGATACACAAAAACATAACCCAGATTTCAAGTTCACGAACAAGACATCCCAATTCCATGCAATCCCCAGATGAAAATTTAGCAGAAAATAGACCCTTCAACTCTCAATTTCCATCACAGTCAAACCCTAGTTCCCCAATTTTCCTCAAAACCCTTTCTCGCTCCAGACAAACAGATTGCTGATACAAGCAGGATATTCGGAAAACCTTTCTCAAATGTAATACCTAATCAATCAACCAGGTTCAACGAGAGAGAAAGGGGAATTTTTTTCCTCGCGAAAATAATCTCTACCCAGCTAATTTCTATCGAAATCAGATTTACAGCATGATCTCCACCAGCCCTAGAGGGAAAATTTCCTCATTATTTTTAAATGGAAGAAGAAAACTCTACATCGGATGCTCAGAGAGATCATACAAATGGAGATTGAATTGATGAATCGAAAGAGAGGAAGTTGTACTTTGAAACTGAGGCTGATCTTGGATGAAGCGTGGCCGAGAGAGAGAGTGCGACACACGAGAACGAAGCTCGGCAATGTTTAAACGGCGTCTGTTTCCGGTCTTTTTAAAATTATAAATCGCACCCTTAACGTTTTCAAACATTTCAATTGAGTACCCATAATTTATTTACACATTCTTCAAGTGCGCCCAGAATACCACCGAGCTTCACGAGAAAAATTCAGAGATATCTTCGGATCCTTGAATCCTGCCTTTCGATTCTCCACGTAACAAAGGCGAATCGGATCTATCGATGATTCCGACAAGGAGATTTTTTCTATCTCCATTTGTCGGAATAACAGTGCTCGTCGTTCTCCTCGCTCTCTACTTCAGATCTTCCTTCAGGTCTCCATCCAACGAGGTATTCACTCTGTAAAACTCTAGAACTGCGTGAATTCTCTGTTCTTTTTTATGTTCCGTACTTTCCAGATCAAAATTTTTGTTTTTTACTCTGATGTCGCGAGTAAAGCAATCATCTTCTCCTGCTTTTGTTCTCTCATTTGTGCATTTTATGATAGTATCAGATTCGAAAAAGGTTGTTTCGATCAAAGGGGTTTTGTCTGAATAATGTTTGATGCTTGCCCAGGATGAGGTTCCGAGTTTAAACCCATTGAAATAGAAGAACACTCTGGTAATTTGAGTGACATAGTTATGTCTAGGGTTGAAGGTCTTTGTCTGGAGCATCTTCTATATCCAAGTGGTTTCTGATTTTTTGCCCTTTGGTTCTAGAGGTTGTTCACCGCTGAAGAACTGGCATTGTACAATGGCACTGATGAGAAGTTACCTATTTGTTTAGGGATTCTTGGGTAAGCCTTCTCTCATCCTACTTAGATTCAAGTCTGGTGAGAATTTACACATTTAATCCCAAAGAACTACAACATGTTAACGAGTTCTCTGTTATATCCGATTACAGATCTGTGTTTGATGTGACGAAAGGAAAGTCGCATTATGGCAGTGGAGGGGGTTACAACCATTTTGCTGGAAGGTTTGTTTTCTTTGATCAAATATGTGGAAACATTACTCATAAAAGCACTTATAAATTCTTCTGTTCCCCGATATTAGTTTTGCAAGTTTCTTACTGATGGAAGCTTTGTCCTGTAATTCCTTGAGCTCAGAGATGCTTCCCGTGCGTTTGTGTCTGGGAATTTCACAGGTACTAAAGTTCTGCTTCGTCCTTCCATCGGATGCCCTGTAATTTGAATAACTCGTCCAAGAAACGAAAACTGTACCTTGTGGTTGCCATGATCGGATCTTTCTTTCTCTTATGAGCAACTTTTGACTGTGACGTAACATCTCTTAAGGAAGTAGATCTTTAGATTTCCTCTTCTTGCCAAGGTATGGTGCCTCATATTTTAGGACATTTTATCCTCATGGGTCGTCTTTGTTTGTGATTAAACAAGTTAGAACCTTGCACACTTCATTGTTAGGGAAACATCCATGTCAAAATGCCAGCACCCATGTGTTTTAAACTTGTACGGAGCTGAGTTGCGGTAGATGACGCGGCAGAACACCCCTTAAATCTGTTCAAACTCCCAAATCATCTAGGGACTGCTGTGAAGATTCTCATCTGTTTCATTAGTTTGTTTATATAATTCCTTTTCTTGTGCAGGAGACGGACTCACAGATTCATTGCGTGGTTTATCAAGCAGTGAGGTGATATTTCATTTTCTTTTTCGATATCTTATATCTACGTGGGAATGCATGCGACATTCTGGGTCCGACTATGGTACCATGATCTTTACGTCTCTTCATATCTATCACTCTCATAGAAACCGATCAACTTGGGAATTTCGAGAACACCTTCACTGCATTAACACGGTTCTAGTAGTGTGTTTTGTTTGATATTCTTGAAATCCACATGTTTCATCTACTCTTGATTAAAATATTTGCTGCATAGGTGAAGAGCGTTGTCGACTGGCGAGATTTCTACATCAGGACCTACACGTAAGTTATTTATTTTATTCACAGAGACAGAAAATCTGATGTCGAGTAAGAACTAAAAAAGAAATCAAAACCATTGAGAATGCTCTGTTCTTTGGCTTAAACGCCATCTTTTCAGCAGCATTCAGATTTTTTTTTTTCTTCCGATAACAGATATGTCGGAAAGCTTGTTGGCCGTTATTACGATAGCCAAGGAAATCCCACTAAACATCTGAAAGGAGTTGAAGCAAAAGCCTCGAGAGGGGCACAGCTCTTGGAGAAACAGAAGATCGAAGAGGCTAAGCAACCTAACTGCAATTCACAGTGGAGTCAAGATGAAGGCGGGGAGGTATATCGTACTTTTTCCCATCTCTAACCCCACTTTGGTCTTTGCCCCGACACTCCACTTCCATGCCTACACCATGGAAAAATGTATCATTCAGACAGTGATTTATGTTTCTGAATCTAAAAAGCAAAATCCATAAAAAAGATTCAAGAACATGAACATTATAGTATCAGTGAGAAGAGGAACCTTTATGCAGGTCTGGTGTGATGTTGGGGTGCCGAGGTTGGTGCAAAGACCTCTAGAAATAGCGTTGACGGGTCAAATGAGCAAACGCTGCGCTTGCTTTAAGGAAGACCAGCTCGATCAGGCCGGTTTGGAAATATACAAAGGATGTGACCCTCTTGCCAAGACATGCAGGGTGTGACTGAAGGCTTTAAGAGATGACAGAAGGATGTCATGCCAAAAACCAATCTGGTAATAAGCTAAGTTCCATCTCTAAGCTTCTTTGAAGCCTTGTTACTACTGCAAAGAGCTAATCGCATGACCAGAAAAAGGATATATACATATATGTATGTGTATATATATGTCTTTCTTGTTCATTCTTGCATTCTGCCATAATCAATCACAGACTCCTCCTTCTACTTGTGGTAACTAAACTAACTAGCTAGCTAGTGTTAAGGTCTTGTCTTAAATGGGAGTTGATTCTTGTGGTTAGTTGGAGAGAGTAAATGTCAAACAGCTAAAAATGCAAAGCGAGTGATTATCCAAACATTAACTGCTCTTATAGGATTTTCTAGTGGAAGGAGCCGTCTGCTTCTGCGGCTCGCAAAGCACCCACTTGGGCCTTGCCTCCCTCCTTTTCTTCGTTTTACCACTTCACTTCACGTTTTCCATGCTAGGTTTTTTCATCTTCTTCAATTAGCAACTATATATGTATATATATATATGTATACACACACACTTTGGTGTATTGAAGATTAAGGCAACACCCTTTAGTTGTACTAAAATCAATAAATGACATGGCATAACATATAATTAGGATAAATATTTGGATTCGGTTATGCAAAAATAAATTCAATTAAAAAAACCAATTGGATAGGATTTTTTTAAAAACTCGATTATGACCAAATATTGGAAATGAAAATTTAAAATGAATTTTTTTTAATTTAAGTCGAATTCCAACGTATATATAAATTGAATAGATATAAAAAAATGAAATTTTAGAAATATAAACCTAAACTAAAATATAATCAAAACTCGAAAATATGTGCCCCCTACATGCAATGCTTAATAATCCAAGGCATAACAAAAACAATGTCACATGGGGTACACACATGAATGCACAAATTCTCTCCTTTATGAACACAAGATCCATATTTTTCTCACAAGGTTTTATCAAAGTTTTATATCATTAATTAATCGGTCAGACTTTTGTGGTCACTTGTGAAGAAAATTGTATTGCGGAGATTAGTAGTTAAAAGACGTGGAAAGTACATTGAGAAAGACTTTAAAGGACGGTCGATGTCAAAAAATAAAATAATAATTGGTGAAGGTTAAAAATTTACTAAAAGAAGATTAAACATCGAGCAGTTAGGTATGTACTTGCAATTTTTTTTTCACTTCCCTTGTCCGAATAAAGTCACCTTTCGGCTTTCGTTTCGAGTTTTATGTCTTTTTTTTTTCTTTCACAAAATAAAATAAAAACATATATATATAACAAAAGATGCAGAACATGCGGGGAGATGGCATGCATGCATGTTCTTCACGTGTCTTGATTTAATTCGTTGCTTCCTCTCTAACCAGGCTCTTTTTTATTATTTTATTTACATTGAATTTTGATTCAATTATTTCTTGAATTATTGCATATAATTAGTCTCTCGCTGCCAACCCTTTGTTGTTTTCGTTTTGCCCATTTTGATTAAATAATTTTAAAAAAAAATTATACGTAGAAGAACTTTGAATATAGTTAGTTGGTTATATACGGGGTTAATTAATCTATTGTCGGTTTAAAACGTACATTATCAACAGTTTAAACGTGTTTTATTTGAACCGTATCCAGAGGGAGACTTTGATCTGTCGAATAATTTTTTTCAAAGTTTGAATACAGAGATATAAACGTATAGATGTAAATGGAATTTAATGAGGCCTTGATTGTTCTTATATTTTCGGAGTGAATATATATTCTGATTTTTATTTATGTGTATGAAGTTTAATTATATTCATTTATATGCGTTATGCCTCAAATATTCATCAAAATTCACCTAAGACATCCACGCTTACAACATGAATTATAATAATTTTATGCGTTTTCTTTCTACTCAATCCCATGTGTATCCATTGTACAATTTGACACATTCACTCTCACAGCTATAATATATATATATATATATATATATATATATATATATACACATATACACACGTACTCCACCATATGCTCCAAGTTGCTATGAACATTGATGATGATAGTACACGTCAAATTGACCCACAAAAAAAACTTTTTGTTAATTTAAATTTCCTCTAAATTTAAAAAAAAAATCGAATGAAAAACTAAGATTGAATTTTTTTATCCAATTTGGAAAGTTCAACCTGTGAAACAGATATGCAAAACGTATGTTTTGTCCCGAATTCAAACCTCAAATTGAGAAGATGGTCGTATATTCTAATTACATAATTTGTATTCGATTCCATAATTAGTTTGGACCTCGGCCCAATACACTCGATTATCCAAAAAAATTGATTTTTTTAAAAAAGTAACATTTCGTCAAAAGCAAATAATTAACGAGACAAAGATATAACATAACACACGAGAAAATCAATCTAACCCCCTTTTTGAAACGTGGAGCACAAGGCAAATAATTTATTTCCCACGTGCTGTTTTCGTTCACATGCATGTATTTTCAAGTAGGGTTCTTTCTTTCTTCCTTCCAATATATGGACATCGACCGAAGTTCCAAACCGAACTTTATATTCTCTACGAAAATAACGCAGAGACTTAGGTATCGTTGCAGCTTAGACATATACATATATCTCCGGCTATCTCCGGTGGACTTTCCGGCGTCGTCTTGCCGCCGGGAATCTATGTGAGTTTAGTTTATAGTTAATCCGACCCCATCATTTTCAGTTTTGCTCAATTTCACCCCAAAAGTTTCTACCAATTCTTTTTCAGTCCTGAAAGCTTTCGTTTGATCTCTACAGGGCTACAGATCCGTCGTTCAACGTACGTTCCAATGAGATTATTGCTCTCGACAACGGGAGATTATGCGTATACGACGTCGAGGAGCTCCAGGTATATATTATTTGATCGTATCACGAATTATCTGTTCAAAGTGTATGTATTGATTTTTTTTTTTTATTTGCATGGTGTATAATTAAGAAGATAAGGGCCATAATAGAGATGGAGAACCGGCGGAGTGATGTAACGGCGTTAGGAGCGCCGTTAGTGGGGGTGGGATCTCCGTTACGGTTTAGGGTGAAGAGATCGCTGCAGAGGTTTTTGGAGAAGAGGAAGAAGAGAGGCCAGGCCCTCGCTCCTTTTTGCTCATCTTCCACCTCATCTCCCAATTTCTAATTATTATTATTATTTAATATGAATTAATATATGCTGAGTTGTTCTATAGTTAGATTGTTCGTTTCTTGAATAAATCTTTTGAGTTAATATGAATTATTTCTTCGGATAGATTTCACAGTATATTTCTTTCTTTCTTTTTTTTTTTATATCCGATTATAAAATAAATAAATAAATCTTTTGAGGAAAAGCCGACCCGTTTTTCATTTGGATAAGTAGCTCCTCAGAGTTGGGGACTGATCGATTGATCCATTGGAATTAAAGTCCATGTCCAAATCTTCAAAATAGTACCCTTTTGTGTTTGAATCTATGTGAAATGCTCGAAATATCTTTTCGAATTTAATATGGATGGTACAAATTGTACCATATATTAGTTGGAAGCCTATATAAACAGTTTATTGGTATATAAAATCCACGTGTAATGAAAGGCTTGATACTTTCTTGAACACCTGCTATGCTTTGATAATACAGACTTTTGACAGATTTACTTTTACCCCTTTTACTGAGACGAATATCATTTCATCCCAAGAGTAACCATTCCCATTCCATCAACGTTCAACATGAACTGATAAATCACAGAGAGAGAGAGAGAGAGAGAGAGAGAGAGAGAGAGAGAGAGAGAGAGAGAGAGAGAGTTTCTTCTGCAAAGAGAGTTTTGCACATTCCAGTTATTATTACATGCCCATATCATCACAGTTTTCAGACATGAAGATGAAGGTGAAACATAAAAAAAAAACATAAAAATCCACCTCCCTCAAACCCAACCTGTCAGCTACCGGAGACAGTTGCAGAAGTTCAGCCTCCACCGCCCGTTCTTCTGTATTTTTCATGGCCATGTCAAAGATACACTTTCTCTCTCCGGGAACATTGCTGTTTCAGTCACTACTAGAGAGAGAGAGAGAGAGAGAGAGAGAGCATGAGAATTTCAGTCCCGGGAGATTCCATGAAAGGGTCATCACCAGCATCATCAGCATCAACATTCTGTACAAAGCACTAACCTTTCCCAAACTCCTAAAGCCTAAAGAGTCCTACTTCTCTCTCTAAGGAGTTTTCAACACAGAGCACCCAAAATACTGCTCCCCGGAAGCCCACTGCTTCCAGTAACCAACCAACTCCCCACTTTCAGATCTTTCCCCATCATCATCATAAATACACAATCAAACCAGCAGCATTGGTCCAGTCGCCAAGAAACGAAAAAGAAGAAGAAGAGAAACCAAGTGAAAAGAGAAAAAACAAAGCAGAATCTAAAAACATTATCACCTGTATTCTCCCTTTGAAAGATACCCACAGCAGGTACTGTATTCACACAGTTTGTCCCCCGAGTCCACTGCCCATCTCCACCTCCCCAGAATGTTTACCCAGAAAACGGGAAGTGAGCATAGATGCAAACTGTTTGTTTCTTCTTGTTTAACCCCTCACAGATTCAGAGTTGATCTGACTGCCCCTTCCATGGGACGTGGACTCGCCGATGGGCGATGGTTTACGACCAAAGCTTAGCAAAGAGTTCCTCTGCTCTTCACTGGTATGACGGAGACTTGCCCGTAAAAGCTCTGCAGGCATCTCCTTCTTTATGGCTAGCTCCATAACATCTGCATTCCCCTGGTTCTGACAGCGGATTGTCTCGTACTTACTCCTGCAGTACTTTGTGAGAAGTGTAAAAAATTCATCAAATGAGGCTCTCCACAGACCGTCGTTATGATTCCCATGGTTGACATGAGGAACCTGTACTTCGGCAGCCCTCTCAAAAAGAGATATCAAGACGAGAGAAGCACCATCTCCCACAGGGCTTCCAATGGGACGAAGAGGTGGCTGCTCTGAAGAACACACAACTGCTGCAAGACAAGCACTCAGTGCTCGGAGGTCCATGGCTTGAACACAAACTGTGACTGCCTTGGCAAGATTTGCAATTGTCTCTGCTGATGCTGTGTCAGAGGGAAGGCCACCAAATAGAAATCTCAAGTGGCGGAAAACAGCCATGCAAACAATCCGGGCAACCTCACTACCTGGGACAAGAAGCTGTAAATACTTTGTAAGCATCTTTCGACCCTTGGCAAGAGACGCAATGCGTAGAAAAACGATATCATCCTTTGCAGTCAACCCAGCTTTCTGACCAGTTCTGCTGAACGGATCAACAAGTTGAAGTGATGTGGCTAATCCCTCCAGCAGGATCTGCCGCTTTCTCCTGAGCTGAGTGCCTCCGTCCTGGGGCCGGTTGAACTGCAAAATCCTATCGATGTCATCTATCTCAATAAGAACTCCAAGAGAGTCTTCAATAGTAACCCTAGCAGCGACCAGAGGTTCCTGCTCCAAATGCTTTTCAGAGCCCTTATGATCCGCGCTTCCATCACTAGATCCAGGAGGAGAGTCCTCAATGAGGGCTCGTAGCTTACGAACAGAAGGAAGAGTAATCTTTCCAAGAGCATCAATGTGAACTTGCGGATGCTGTTCAGTACTATTACGGGAGCGAGATTGGTGTTCCTTCAGGTGAGAAGGGTAGAACTGAGGTTTTGCTCTTGATCCAACAGACTTCTTAGCAAGACGAGCTTGGTGGTAATAATCATTGACATATGGGTCATTGCTGTGTGAATTGGAATGCTGCATTTTGAGAATACTCTCTATTTCTTCTGAAGTCATGTACTTTGATCTAAATTGCAATCCGCCCTCACTTTTCTGACTAGATATATCTGACGCCGTTTGGGAGATGCCTCTGTTCTTTCGGCTTCTATGAGATGGCCTATGTTTACGCTCCCTAACTTCGCCAGCCCCAAACAGTCCTTTATGTGATGGCGAAGGATAAGAATTATACAGCTGGGATTGTAAGGCGGCAAGATGGGCTAGAGATTGCCTTTGCTGAAGGGAAATCAAATGCGAGGACAGAAGACCATTGCGAGGGGGCAATTGAGGTTGCTGTTGTTGCACCAGACTATGTAATAGTCCAGAATGATCCCCATGTAGGAGGCCAGAGTCACTGAACCAATGAGGTTGCCCCATGTTACCAAATGTAGGTCCACCAGAGGCAAATCTTGCCAAATTACCACCATAATGGGATGCATGTGACAATCCCGTCATATGGAGATTAGAATTTGACAGTGGAGAAACATTTGGGGCAGATAAGGTCAATTGGCTTCCACCGGGAAGAGAAGGAGCACGATGCAGATGGTTAGGTGAAGCCTGCTGAGATCGGATTCCAGGCGGAGGAAAAGATGTGAAAGCTGATTCAGGTACAATAATGGGTTCGCTGTTGTAGTGATGCAGTTGTGGTTGCTGCTGAGGATAGGAGGATGTCCTGTACAAAGAATTCGAATGGGCAGATGATTGTGGCTGTGAGGACCATCTCTTAGCCTCCTGAGCTTGTTCGTCTAGCATATGCTGATCCAACCAGCTTGAAAGCTCTGCATCTTGAGTCCAATCTGTAGCAGATGAACCTGGAGATAGTTGACTTTTAGAAATGGCTAATCCCGAATGTAATATTTCTTGAATCAGAAAATGGGCGGTTTAAACAAGGAAACAAAATTAAGGACCAAAATATTTTGGGCACAAAAAAGGTTCAGGACTACTATCACACCGGCATAAAGATTAATGGTTCGTTCATGCTCAATAGGCACACACCGCTCATAGAGAGGAACAAAAGACCAGGAAATACAACAAACTTCAAAATATCCTGGAAATCGTTAAAGAGGTTGATTTGGGGAATTTAACTCACTTTCCCTTGAAAAGGACCCTGATCCTCTATCGCCGATAACTCCAGGATGTTTGGGTCCAGTAACGACTCTGTTCAACTGCATAAAATAAAACAAGATAAAATAAGTATAGGATAACTCATATGAAAACAAGTGAAAGAAAAAAAAACTGAGAGAAGGCAGCTGCACAAGCAGAACCCAGGCATATTATCACACAGCCATAAACCATCAAATTTCGAAGGACAAGCTCTTCAGTTTTTAAGGCTTCTTAGCTGGACAAGTAGTTAAAGGGTTTGCTTGTCTAGAGAAAAGGGAGATCAGCAGCTACATGAAAGCCCATGGGACAGTAATCAACCATGACAAGATCATCATACTCAGTTGCGTATCTTCAAACACAAGCTAATCATCTACATGACCGTAATTGAAGAACACGCTGACCTTTGCAAAAGTTGTCGCGAGATCGTCCATGTCAGACAAAGATCCTAAACCTGCACCCTGGAATCAATACAAATACATCGTTGTTAGATGCAATGAATACATGAGTCATGACTAGAGAAAAAAGCCTTTATATGCAGATCAGAGGGAAGACGATTTCGAACACAAGCTCAAAGACAAATGAAAACCTTGCAATTCATTCTTCTTTAATGTATAAGAAAACTCCAACAGAAATAGTTTGCTTTACCAACCGAAGACACATTCATTTGAGGTTATATCAGCCTACTGCCGAATCTTAACGTATATAAAACGCGAAAACAGGTAGAAAATTGTTTCTATTTCAATAAAAGATGTCGATTTCTCTAGTATATTCTCAAAACATCATTGTAACAGTGAAGCACAATACCTCTCCTTTATCAAACAAGTGATACTCATCATCATCAGCATATCCTGGAACAGGAGTGGTCTCCACTTCATCCTCAAGACCGCCCAGTTCCACTTCCTCCAGAACATTTTGACCAAAAAACTCGTATTGGGATGCATCAAAGAGTGCAGTATCTGCAGAAGATAATAAGACCATATTCAGCAACCGTTGCTTCAAACACATCAAAAGTGTTCTGTCCTCAGAGACATTACACGGTCATTGTCGAATTTAGTGGATAACATGTAATGAGATACAGGGATGATAGCAAATTCACAGCAAAATGGATAAATTCTTGGCAAAAAGAAGAAAAAGAAGCGATTTTCCACCCTACGACAGAAAATAAACCACGAACCCAACAAATCCATGAACCAGATTCAAACAACATACAATAGCAGAGATATTCCACCAGCAATCAGCAGCAAAACCAGCAACCCTTCACTTTCTCGTCTCCCATGAACCAATCTAAACATTCACAAACCGGATCCAAGAACAGCTTCGCAGCAGAAACACACAGAACCTAATACTAATTCCATTTCAAACACGGAGAGCGACAAAGGCTCCCGCCCCGTACCTGAGGAAGCCCGAGCGAAGTTGTTGAAATCCCAGGAATCGGATCTCTCCATGCTCAACTGGAAAATACGAGAAAATGAAATACGCAAAGAAAACCCAGGACTGTAATCGAAGCCCTCGTCTCTAGGGTTTTCGTTTCTTCGGAGAGGCACTTGTCAATGAGAAGACAGATGAACAAAAGACAAAAAGGGTGAGTAAATCAGCTAAAATTTTCCGGTTTGCCGCGATTTCCCGAGAAAACGCGAGAAGTAACACAGGAAATCGAACGAAATCTCTCTCCGAGAGAGAGAGAGGTACAAGAAAGCTTAGTATTTTTTTTTTTGGGTTCTGTTGCCTTCGCTGTGCGCAACATTGACACATGACCACGCCGAAAGAGAGAGAAAAAAATCAGCCCTTTTTTTTATTCCCCTAAAATATTCCTTTTTATTATTTTTTTCTTTTTTTTTTGTTGTTAAAATTACTATTATTTTCCTTTATTTATTCCATTTTTAAAATTCTTCTCACATAACTTTTCCATCAATTTAACAGTATATATTATTAAATTTAAATGAAATAATTGAATATTAAGGCTCTTATCACCATGTTATGCTGTATAGTGAATAATGTAATTTTTTGTACTTTTAATTTCTTATAGAGAGGTAAATGATATTACTCAATGAAAATTAAATGACCCTCTCAGAAGATTCCAAGGATTATTTTATTTTATTGGGGGGTTAGGCCATTACTTGTAAGAAACTCAAATGAAAAGATAAAAATTAAATGCATACAAAATATAAAAATAGGTAAATGCATAGTCAAGTGATATGGTCCATGTGACTTGATTTCATATGGTCGGTCGAATTCAATCCCATTGGTTCCGTTTTTTAAAAACAATGGAAATAGTTCTAAGCCTTATTTTGGAACATGGCAACAATTATTAAATATTATACAAAAAAAAAACAATTATTAAATACACATATGGCCAAACAAATTATTTATTACGGCCTAAATTGAGACGGTCAATATCATTCTTAAACACTAGTAGTAGTGACCATGACTTTTATTTTTGGTGGTTTCGTATGCTAATAATCGGAAATTATGTGAATTTACGTGTCCAAAACGCAATTCTCAATGACATGGAACATATTGTCTTTTAATTTGTTCGTATCAAATTTAAACCCCAATTTTAGTTTGATTTCAATTCAATTCGATTATTTTTCGTATTTCCTTATATATATTCGGAAAATATCTAATTATAAATATGTAATTATATGAAATTTTAATGCGTGTAAGTCATGAGGATGGTGGCAGAGGAAGTCAATATTAAATTTTAATTTTTTTTTATTATAAACTCATGACTACTAGGATTTTGTTAGGTGAACTATATATATTTAACAAAAATAAAAAATAAAATAAAATCAACATCAAGTTCGAGATACATCACTAAGCAAGTTATATGATTCCATTTTTCTATTAAGAAATTGACGTTTAATTTGAAGTAATGCTCATTAAGGAACATGGGCCTTGCATCAGGCTAGGCCCAAATAATTTCAAGCCCATTAAACTACGGCCCGATATTACGCATTTGCCATCACTAGGGTTTCTGGGATACTATAAAGGGTGCCAATCTCACTGGAGCTGCCCTTAGGGTTTTTGTGGCCACAGAGACGAATCGGACGGAGAGAGAGAAAGGGGGGAAAATGGTTAAGTTTCTGAAGCAGAACAAGGCCGTGATCCTCCTTCAAGGTCGGTACGCCGGCAAGAAGGCGGTGATCATCCGGTCCTTCGATGACGGCAACCGAGAGAAGCCGTACGGTCACTGCCTCGTCGCCGGAATCAAGAAGTACCCCGCAAAGGTGATCCGCAAGGACTCGGCGAAGAAGACGGCAAAGAAATCTAGGGTTAAGTGCTTCGTCAAGCTCGTGAACTACCAGCACCTGATGCCGACTCGTTACACCCTCGATGTGGATCTGAAGGACGTCGTGACCCTCGACGCGCTCCAGTCCAAGGACAAGAAGGTGACTGCTCTCAAGGAGACCAAGGCCAGGTTCGAGGAGCGTTTCAAGACCGGGAAGAACAGGTGGTTCTTCACCAAGCTCAGGTTCTGAATAAAAAATGATGGGTGTTTTGCCTTTTTCGGAATCGAATTGAGCTTGGGTTTATTTGGTATCCCTGTTTTGTTTGGTGAAGACCTTTACAGTTTTGAATTTTCTTCTGGATTTGTCTCTACTTAATGCATTTTGATGTTCTTCATCCATCGTTTCATCTGACTCCATTGGTAGCTGAATTGGCATGTTGGTAAAAGCCCTATTTTATTTGGGAATTAGCTGAATTATGCAATGGCGAAGTAATTCTCGTTCCTTTGAAATGTGTTCATAGTTGGCACTGCATTACAAAAGTAGGGGACATAGGCAAACTGTTTGTTAAGTAGATGACATGGGGGAAATGAGAGGGAGGAAAGTTTGATGCTTGGATTGCCACATTCGACCCAAAAAAAAGGTTGAAGCTTTTGGGTTCTAGACTCTGATTTTGGAACAGGGGATTCTTTGTCTCCGATGGTCGGCAGGATAACTATGTCTTAGAATCCAAATTTACTTTCTACATATTGTTAAGAATCATGTTATTGTTCCTAGAGTTATTGTCCTATTCTTTATCAATCTTTGGATCTTGGTTTCTTCTATGAATTGACAAACTGGGATTAAGTTTATATCCTGAACCCATCTGCAGTATAGCCCCGACTCAGCTACACAGAACAAAATTAAGAGGATGTGAATGATTATGTCAATGGGTTCGGGTTGTGCGGGTATCCGAGCTTGTGTCGTGGGTATCCGAGTTGTGGGTATCCGAATATCTGTGAGATTGAGTGCGAAACACTACTAATACTATCCAATAACCCCAACCCTATGAGCGGTTATCTGTGTTAAATTTTGACTGAATCCATAATCTACTCGAGAAAATTCCTGAACGGGATGGAACTAAGAGCAAACGAAGCGTACCAGAATTCTCACTTCGTGATGCAACAAAGCAAAACTTTGGGGGAGCAGAGTCTAAAATGAAACTAAAGGGGAGTATTTATAATTCGTGATAAAAATTGGGGACTTCGAGATATTTAGTTATTCTTAGATCAGACCTTAAACTTTGTGAGATAACAGTTTTAGCCCTCGGAGTTAAAAACCGATTCGGTTCAGGGTTAAAAATAGCTTAAGAAGAGCCAAACAAGGCCTTAAGATGACGTCATAATTTAAAAAAAAAAACTAAAACTGCCGTTTCCTCACAAGAAAAGCTGCCGAATTCTTCCCTCGAACCCTAGTGGGACCGGGTCATCTCAATTTCCCCAGCACTGTACGTCGCCTATTTCGACCAGATTCTCTCCGCCGTTTTTCCGAATCTCTTTTTCCGGTTGATTTCCTCGGAGATTTCGGTGGGACCGAAGTGCGTGTACCGGAATTTTTTCAGTTTCACCGAACCGATTTCTCGATTCCCTAACCGGTCACGAGCTGCAATAACCGAAGGTTTATACATTTTGTGTTCTTACAGTTCCAAACGTGGTAATCCTGATTCTCTTTTACTGGGTTTTGGTCTGAATGCCTGGTGTTTTCTGCATGGGTTTTAGAATTTTCGCGTAAAGCCTGCGACTTTTTAGGGTAATCTGGTTATGAAGCGGAAATCTTTGAGAATGTTGGTCACCATTGGAATTCGTTTCTTCGAAATTCGACAGCTTTCTTTTCTGGGTTTTGTAGCTCATATCGTATAATGCTCTCTGCTCTGGATCTTGTCATTACTAACGTTCTTCTATCTGGGTTTCATTTATTTCTTGGGAGGAAGAGGCAGGTTAGGAGGAGATGGAAATGGAATTGGAGCCAGTAGCTCTGACGCCTCAGAAACAGGACAGCGCATGGAAGCATTGTGAAGTCTACAGGTACAGGGACCGGTTACAGATGAGGTGTCTCTACTGTCGGAAAATGTTCAAAGGTGGTGGGATAACCAGGGTCAAGGAACACCTTGCTGGCAAAAAGGGTCAAGGTCCCATTTGCGATCGAGTTCCAGAGGATGTTCGCCAGTTCTTGCAGCAGTGTTTGGATGGGACCGTAAGGCGGCAGAGGAAGAGGCGAAAATGGAGTTCAGAGCCACAGCCTATAGCTTACTTCCCTCCTTCTGAAGTAGATGATGCATTGGTTGTGAATAATGGATTCAAATCACCAGGTCCAGCTGTTAGGAAGAATGGTTTTGACAACAATGCCTCTGCCAATGTTGATGGAGACACGGACAATAATTTAATTCCAGTGGCTATCAGTTGTGTCAAAAACGTCGTGCAAAAAGAAAGCTCGAAAACACTTCATATGGCGATTGGACGGTTTCTGTTTGATATTGGAGCTGATTCTGATTCAGTGAATTCTGTTAATCTCCAACCAATGATCGATGCCGTTGTTTCCGGAGGATTTGGGGCTTCCATCCCTGGAAATCGTGATCTCCGAGGTTGGATATTGAAGAACTGTGTCGAGGAAATGATGAAGGAAATTGACGAAAGCCGGTTACTGTGGAAGAGGATGGGATGTTCCGTTTTGGTTGAGCAGTTGGACTCTGGAAAAGGTCGAAAAGTCCTCAATTTTTTGGTTTACTGCCCAGAAAAGGTAATGTTTTTGAAGTCTGTGGACGCGTCCGAGATTATACCGTCTGCTGATAAATTGTATGAGCTATTTAGGGAGGTGGTGGAAGAAGTCGGGGAAACTCATGTCATTCAAGTGATTACGAAATGTGAAGATCACTATGCCGCTGCCGGGAAAATGTTGATGGACGCTTACCCTTCTCTTTATTGGGTTCCTTGTGCTGCTCATTGTGTGGATAAGATGTTCGAGGATTTTGGAAAGGTCGAGTGGATAAGGGAAGCAATCAAACAGGCTCAATCTATCACCAGATTCATCTACAATCATAGTGGTGTTTTGAATCTGATGTGGGGATTTACTTCCGGCAATGATATCGTGCAGCCGGCATTGAGCCGTTCCGCCACAGATTTCATGACATTGGGAAGAATAGCCGATCTTAAACCCAATTTGCAGGATATGGTAACTTCGCCAGAGTGGAATGATTGTTTATATTCAAAGGGAACGGGTGGATTGGCTATGACCGATACTATCAACGATGAGGCCTTTTGGAAGGCACTTACTCTGTTAAGCCAACTAACCGATCCTCTTTTGCGAGTTCAGAGGATAGCCTGTTCTGAAAAGAGTCCTGCAATGGGGTATGTATATGCAGCAATCTACCGGGCAAAGGAATCGATTAAAAAACTACTCGTTAAGAGAGAGGATTATCTAAATTACTGGAAAGTTGTAGATAGCAGGTGGGAGGAACAAAAGCTTCTTCCTTTGCATGCTGCCGGTTTCTTTCTTAACCCGAATTTCTTCTATAACGCCAATGAAGAATTGCGCGGTGAGATCCTTTCAGCAGTCTTTGATTGCATAGAGAGATTGGTCCCTGATGTCGCCATCCAAGATAAAATCATCAAGGAGATAAACTTGTACAAGAACTCCGTTGGAATTTTCGGAAGGAACCTGGCAATCAGAGCTCGGGGCACAATGCTTCCGGGTATGACCATATCGTTCTTTTCTAGTTAATGGATCCAGCCAAAGTTGTCTATCATTACTTTGACTGTCCTTGGGAATCGAAACCACATCTTCATATTCTTCTACCGAACTGTGTGTTCGATCAGGAAGAGTTTTACGCCATTTTGTTAATGGTTCTCAGGTGAATGGTGGTCCACATACGGAGAAAGCTGCTTGAATCTCTCGCGTTTTGCCATACGTATTCTTAGTCAGACTTGCAGTTCGTCGATTCAGTGGAGAAGAAATGTAATACCGATAGAACAAATTTACCAATCAAAGAACTGCATCGAGCAACAACGGCTGAGCGATCTCGTGTTTGTCCAATACAACATGCGTCTCAAACGACGGTAAGTCTGAAAAGCTTTTGCCCGCATCAAATGTAATTCCGTATTTTGTTTCAAGGATATAAGGAGAACTGATTATTTTCCGTTGTCTTCCAGGGATCAAGAAAGCCGAGATTTCTCGGTAGACCCGTTATCAGACAGCATCTGCATGGATGTTCTTGAAGGCTGGGTTTCCAAAAACCAAACCTGTATAGAAGAAAATGGAAGTTCAGACTGGAAGTTGCTCGAGTTTGGTAAGAGAACTCAAGTACCCATTGTCGTTGATGAAGCTGAGAACTTGGGCACAGGTAAAAAATGGTTTGCTCAACTTACATAGCTGAAGTAAACAATAAATGAATTCGAGATTTAATAGAAAAAGCTTATTGTAACAGGTTTTGATGATTCAGAGATTTTCGAGGAGGAAAAGGAAGTGGAGGAGGAAGGTTATTACACAAACATATCGGATAAGATCTTCACGTAAACTCTTCCTAACTTTGCAGAAAGCTCTCATCCTCTAGGTTGATTAGTGTTCTAGAGTCTATCTCCATAGTTTGTGTCCGAAAACATTACAATGACCGGATCAGATTGTTGCTGAATGAAGAATGTTTGATGGGTTTGTCCGGACATGCATCGGAAGACTCGAATCCTGGTCCAGAATCACTCGAGACAGACACAAGCTCGTCGAAAATATAATCATCAGTTCTTTATTCTCTCCGTAAAAGGGATTTTGGGGATACAACTGAATATATGTATTGTCTTAAGGGTAGATAACAATAGGGGTTCTTACGACATGATGAGAGCTATCAGACCAAAAAAGAGTTGCAGAGACAAGACCAGAAATACTCGACAGACCGTTCCCTGAGACAATGACTGTGAAAGACTTCTTCTCTCCCAGTGCGTTGAAAGAGAGTGTTACTGGGTCAACCTTTACGGTGAGGCTCGGATCCGAAGTCACTTGAGCCTTGTACTCGGATTTCGCTGTCCCGACGTTCGTCAAAGTCCTCGAAAACGTGATTTCGGAAGACGAGGAGGGAGAAACTCGGGCCGTCAGTGACGGGTAATTCAGGTCTCGGACCATCGATCCTTGGGGGCATTTCATGTCTTCGTCGGAGATGATCTTGATAGATTCAGCGGTGTAGTTCATCGCGCAGAGCATTGTCAAGTAATCCTCCTTTGTTGTTTCGTACACAAGTCCAGGATCAGTAGCTCCCACTGGATCGAGGTATCCTGATCCGTACGCGAACTCAGCCCCTTGGCTGTCAGAACCTTTCATCGGCCAAGCTATACGTACACACAGTTTATATGGATATGTTGTAATGTTTTGGATATCGAGAATTGAGAAAAGTCGGTTGTGGTAGTTATATACCGGTTGTCATGATAGCTGATCTGATGAAGGAAGGCGACCAGTCGGGATGGATCGTCTTGATATAGGCGGCTGCTCCGGCAACGTGAGGGCAAGCCATCGATGTCCCCGAGAGAAAACGGTAATCTACCCGTCGTGTATCGTCCTTATCATCCGAGAGTGGGGCCACAGGCGGATACGCTGCCAATATATTAGCCCCTGGAGCTGTAATATCCGGCTGCATTTTCATCAAACATAGTTTGAAGATGATCTCAGACGGGGGAAAGTTACGGAAGAATCCTTGAATCTTACCTTCAATATGTCATTGATGATAGGGTTTGGGCCACGAGAAGAGAAGGGAGCGACGGCGAGAGGAGCATTAGCCTCATTAGTCACCTCGCTTTTCATTATCGTTCCTACCGGGTTTCTGTCAAAACATTTTGAAAACGTTAGGCTTCGGATGAAGAGAATCAGTTTATCTACGGGAAGTATCGGACTTTCGGGGCCCTAACTCTGTCGAGGTAATGTAAGATATGAGCGTGTTGTAGTCATTGTCGTCTAAAAGGGAGATGGGAAGAGTTCCGATATCAATACTATTTGTAACGAGATGCATGATAATTCCGATGGCTCCGAGTTTTTTAGGCTCATCAACAGCGCCAAATCCATCACACACCAAGATCTTGTCCTTCACCATATCAAAGCAACCGTCATCGCAAGCTCTACACAAACACAAAAAAGGTATGAAAAAGGTCATGAAACCGTTCAGAACAATTCTTATTTGAGTTCATAAGACTGATCTACCTAGCTTGTTCCTCTGTACATGTACTTGAAGCGGTTTTCCCATATGCGAAAGGGTAGTTTTTCCCGTTCAGATCGAAACTATCGATCGATTTTCCCTATTTTTCGAATGAAATTAGTTAGTAACGATGCAATAATACGATGAAGGAAGCGTTAGTGTCGAAGAAAACACGACTTACGAGTAAAGTCTTGCCATCTCCGATGACAACCTTAGTAACGAATTTTCGATCGGTGAAACCAGCTGCCACAGTTAGAATCCACGGCGAGATATTAGTAACCTTCCCGAGATCCAAACCGCTGTTACCTGCCGAGGCTACTGTCAGAATCCCTTTTGCCATGGCGTGAAAAGCTCCAATGGCGAGAGTATCTTCATGGAAAGGAGCGGCTCCTCCCCCGATGGATATCGTTATGATATCGACGCCATCAGCTATAGCATCATCAAATGCCTTCAAGATGGCTGCAGCATTGCAACCTGCGGGCTCACAAACTTTGTATGCAGCGATTCTCCCCGAAGGTATGCCTCCTCTTGCCGTGCCTTGTGCTAAACCGTAGAAATTCACGCCTTCTACTTTGTTCCCGGCGGCCGTCGACGCCGTGTGAGTCCCATGACCACTAAAGTCTCTCACAGTATCTAGAACGTAATGTCTTGCTCCGACCACCTTGCTGCAGTTATCCGAAAAGATAAGCAAAACTATCTTTGTTTCTAAGGGTATCCGGCCTCGGCCTCGAACTCGTGAGACTCGAGTTCTCGTTACCAGGATTGACTAGAGTATAAATGATATTTTCATACTAAAATCTAACTAGATATTATGAGGGGCGACTGGTTGCACCGCCGCTACCCGCAAATGGAGCGGTTGTAATTTCCGGCAGTTGCACGCGATTGAAAAACTGATTGGTTGAACCGCAACCACCCGCAAACGCAGCCAAACTTGTGTTTTCTAATCGTAGCTTCTAACTTGCGTTTTAGTAGCGGTTTCCAGCGTTTTGACAAAACACTAAAATATCCTCATTAAAAATTATATAAAACTCTAATATATATATTGATGATAATTTTGTTTAGTGTTATGATTTGATATTATTTTTTAGTATTATATTTTAATAAAAAATATAATAGTATACTTTTTAGATTTAATAATGATTATTTTTAATAATTTTATAATAAAATTATTTTTTTACTTAAAATTAAATTAAATTGATAATATTTATATTTTAAATTTATTATTTAATTATTATAAATTTAGTAAATAATTGTTATCAAATGATACTAAAAATTTAATTAAAATTATTATAAAAAAATTATTTTAAAATAATATATTTTTTTTGATAATTTATATCAAAACGCAACTGCAACCGCAACAAACCATTCAGTTCTAACCGCACCCATCCGCAATCGCTGCCAACAACAACTTATCAACCAGTCAGTACTTATCATTCATAATCGTTATCAAACGCTATGAAAACGCCGTCACCCGCAACCGCAACCGTTGCGGTACAACCAGTCGAACCTTGAGTTCAACTGAAATATCAGTTATATAAACGTCTGTTTACTCTTATCCGTTAATCGTAGATAACATTTTACGGTTCGAAAAAATCCGAACTTGAACCAATAGTCCGGGTTTCTCACTTCGTCTGGGTACCCATGACTCTGAGTACCCAAAGACCCATAGTTCTTGTGAAAAAGAAACATCAAGTGACAAAGTATGAGAGGTATATACTTGTTGCAGGTGAAGTTAAACCCTGAAACGCAAGAACCTATCCACTTGCTGTGCGGAGGACCAAAGCCTTCGTCTGAGAAACTCAGAGATTCTGGCCAGATTCCGCTGTCAATGACACCGATTATCGTGTTACTTTCGACCTCGGGGACACGTTTGATCTCGTCGTCGACTCCCATGAAATCCCAAGATCTCGTTGTATGAAGCTGGTAAACTCTGCTTGGAAAGACAGAAATTATCCCTTCCATGCCTATGATCACATCGTAAAGATCAGAAATGGTTATGGTTATCATCCACACAAGAGAAAACAGAGTAAAGGACAGATCTTTTCGGAGAAATCACCAGCAAGTTTCTCGCTTTCAGCTTTGGTGAGCTTAGCGGAAAAGCCATTGAAGCTTCTTCCATAGCTTCTGACAAGAGACTCTCTGACGAAACTATAAAAAGAACAGAGAAGAGATCAAAAGTCACGAGAAGACACAAACGCAAAGCTGCAACCAAAGAAGAATGTTCTGGTCTGAAACATTATACTTTAACTTGACAACTCTTTGAAGGAGACTAAGATGGTGAGACATGGGCGAGTAATGGGTCTCTGAAGGAAGCGCTCCCATGTACACGATGTATTCCTGAATCATCAGGACCAAAAAAGATCAGTTTCCCACGAAAAACTAACGTTCGAAACCAATGTTCCAACAAGAAATTGCGACAGAAAACGATCGTAAAACCCGCCTTCTTATCGTCATCTGCTGCTGCAGAGACCGGGGATGATGAGCTCATGAGAAGAGCATTGGAGAGACAGAGGACCAGACAGATGCATGGAAGGGAAGCCATTGTTGATTCTTTGAAAGTTGCTGGATGTTTGTTCTTATATAGGAATGGATAAGCACATGATGAATGCATTCACGTTGCAGAGATTTTAAACCTTTTGGTAATTTCGTCACTTGAGGCCTGTAGTGTATATTTTCTTCCTTCAAAAGGCTAGATTTGTGTCCTTTTATGATGTTATTACATTAGGAAAAAAATCTCATGAACATGGACATAGTTTGTACTTGTTACCAAAAGAGAGATTGCAACATGTTTCAGGATTTTTAAGTTAAGACAGAAACCAGAACTAGATTTGGTTAATCCGATCCAATTATTTTTGTATTTGAATTACTTTTTTTGTCAAAACTATTTTATGGATTAAATAGGTTTTAACTCATTAAACCTATAGATTTTATAAGTTAATCAAATTAACTCATATAATCTATTAAACATTGCATTCTCTAGTTATTAATTATTTTTTATCGAATAAAATATTTAAAATTTATTTATAAATAGAATCAATATATATATACATATATATTGAAATTAAAATTGAATTAATTCGAATCAAATAACATATGTTCAAATTTGATATAAAATTAAATATACAAATTTTATTTTAAAATAAAAAATTAAACTTGAACCAAATATATAAATAATCGAAAAACTGAAAATTTATATTAAAAATGAGAATTTTATGATAAAAATCGAATTCGGAACGAAACGAATCAAATGGATCGATTTGATCCGAATTAAAACGAATTGATCCGATTTGAATTCGAATTGAAACAAATCAAAATGAATCGATTTGATCCGAACCGGTCAAATTGATTCGAATTAAAATAAAAATAAGATGGTAACTTTATTTATTTATTTATTTATTTATTTTCCTTTTAGAATAGATTTAGATCATTAAAGTGATTAAATTGATTTATTTGGATGAAATAATTTTTATGGATTATCCAACTCATTTAACTATGTATTGGGTTAAATCCCACCCAAAACAATAATTCACCCAAATTTGTTATGACCAAATGGGTTTCCATATAAAACATTACTAAGTGATAATGCAATATATGAATATAAAAGAGGATTAGATCAAACCAGACAAGAATTGCATATTCGAAATCAAGAACTAGGGCTTTGCAAACGGTTCGTTTTGGATTAATCGGTTATGGTTGCTTCAGATTCGATTATTTTAGATTATGAAAATTCATACCCAAACAGTTAATTAATTTTATTTGGTTCAATTTGATTTCGCTTATTTAAAACTATAACCAAATTATAATCAAATAAAAATTCAATTTGATTATAATGATAAAAAAAGTTAATTCATTTATAATAGAAAAATATTCAAATAAAATATAAAATATTATCATGATCATCTTAACATTTACTCCATCCATTTCAAAATATTTGTAGTTTTAGGTTATTTTTTTGTCATTCTACATTTTCAAGACATTTTTTTATAATAGTTTCCAATTTTATCCCTATTATATTCTAATAAATTATTAATAATAACATTGTTTTTATCATTAAATAAGGGTATATGTAATTTTTTTTTATCTTTTCTTAAAAAATATGAAATAATCTAAAACCACAGTTATTTTGAAACGGAGGGAGTAAAATAATAAAATCTAAATTCATATTTTGATATAAAAACAACAAAATAAAAATATTACATAAATTAATTCTCTCCTCTAGAAATGTTTATGTTACACAAACTTTAAAAATATTAAAATAATGACGAAATAAGTTAAAAATAAAAAATGATCAAATTATAAATATGTATATATATATGCTTGTATATAAATATAAATGGGATGTATAAACGATTGGGTTCGGTTATTTTATATTTTGGAAATCAATAATTAAATGGTTATTAAATTTTGGGAAAATGACATTTTTCTACACAATTTGTTTAAAATGTGACTTTTTTCTACACGAATTTTTAATTTGACAAAAAACTATACCAAATTATCAAATGTGCCAAATTGATACACGAACTACCCAATTTAACTGCAATTTCCTATACAATCCGAAAACGAGCCACATCAGATTTTTTAAAAAAAAATACAAAAAAATATGGAAAAAAAAATCGAAAAAAAACATATTAAAATAAAAAACAAAAAATCCGAAAAAAATTGAAAAAAGATAAAAATAATATAAAAATAAAAAGCAAAAAAAATACACATATATATTCATATCTATATACAAATATAAATATAAACATATATACTCCTATATATGTATATACTTATTTATTTTTTATTTATATATATATGCATATGTATATATATATACATACATACATATATATGTGTATATATATTTATATATATATATGTATATATATATAAATATACTTGTATGTGTGTATATATATTGGTATAAATACATGTATATATGTATATATTTTTTATTTGATATATATAGACATATATATACATAGGAATATTTATGTTTATATTTGTATTTGTATGTGGATATGAATATATATGTATATATATGTATTTTTTATTTTGTATGTATATATATATACGTATATATATATATATACACGTGTATATGTATTTATATATGTGTATGTGCATATATATATATATTTGTATAGATGTTAGTATATATATATATATATATGTGTGTGTGTATATGTTTTAATTTGTATATATATAGATATATTTTATATAGTTGTATATATATTTATATTTGTATTTGTATATGAATATATATATGTAGGAGTATATATATATTATTTTAAATAGGAGTATATATATTTTTATATAGGAGTATATATATATTTTTTAAAAAAATTCGATTTCTTTTTCAAATTTTTTTGTATTTTTTTTTAAAATCTGACGTGGCACACTGATGTGGCAAAATTTTCCATGTGGCGTGCCACGTCAGATGCCACGTGGTATGCCATGTCATCGGTTAACGGACATTTAACGTCGTTTCGGATTGTGTAGGAAATTGCAGTTAAATTGTGTAATTCGTGTATCAATTTGGCACATTTGATAATTTGGTGTAGTTTTTTGTCAAATAAAAAGCTCGTATAGGAAAAGTCACATTTTAAACCATTCGTGTAGAAAAATATCATTTTCCCTTAAATTTTAATCGGTTCGCATTCTATTATTTCGGATTTTGAAAAATCATAATCAAACGGTTAGTCAACTCGGTTCGGTTAATAACCGATATATATTTATTCGGTTCGGTACGGTTAATAATCAAAATAACCGAACCCAATGTCCACCCCTATCAAATACAATATCATTCTTCTCGCTCAGTGATGTTTAGTTTAGAACCAGAGATCATATATAACAAAGTCATTGTGTGAATCCTCATAGGTGAGCAAAGGGGAACTTAAAAGCTTTAAGTTTTTGTTTTCTTTCTTTATTGAAGATACAGCATGAACATAAGCATGCATCAATGGCATCTTTTTGTTATCATCATCATCATCATCACCGGACTAACACCCCGTGTTGTTGGCATTCGGCCCCGAAATAGACACCAATACCTGCAAATACCGATCAAAACATGACCGATCAGGCGGGAAATGAGATTATTGGAAATGGTTTTCTTTTTTTTTGAAAAAGATAAAATTATCTTGATCAAAGTAAAAAGAATGTGAATGATTATGTCAGAAACACAACAGGAGCCAGTATGGAATATGATTTTGTAAGGATGTCAAGAGAGCAAATGAGTGGTTTTATACGTTAATTTTTGTCTGAATCCATAATTTGCTTGAAGAAATTCCTGAACTGGAACTATGAGCAAACGAAGCGTACCAGAATTCTCAGTTCGTGATCCGGCAAAGCAAAACTTCGGGGGGTCAGATTTCAAAAGTAAAAGTAAAGGGGAATATTTAGAATTCATGATAAAATTTGGGGACTTCAGGGTATTTAGTTATTCTTAGATCAGACCTTAAACTTTGCGAGATAACAGTTTTAGTCCTGGGAGTTAAAAACCGATTCGGTTCAGGGTTAAAATTTAAAAATAGCTTAAGAGCCAAACAAAGGCCTGAAGATGATGTAAAAAATGGTTTTCTCAACTTACATAGCTGAAGTAAACAATAAATGAATTCGAGATTTAATAGAAAAAGCTTATTGGACCAGGTTTTGATGATTCAGAGATTTTCGAGGAGGAAAAGGAAGTGGAGGAGGAAGGTTATTACACAAACATATCGGATAAGATCTTCACGTAAGCTCTTCCTAACTTTGCAGAAAGCTTGTAACTATAGGCTCTCATCCTCTAGGTTGATTAGTGTTCTAGAGTCTATCTCCATAGTTTGTGTCCGAAAACATTACAATGACCGGATCAGATTGTTGCTGAATGAAGAATGTTTGATGGGTTTGTCCGGACATGCATCGGAAGACTCGAATCCTGGTCCAGAATCACTCGAGACAGACACAAGCTCGTCGAAAATATAATCATCAGTTCTTTATTCTCTCCGTAAAAGGGCTTTTGGGGATACAACTGAATATATGTATTGTCTTAAGGGTAGATAACAATAGGGGTTCTCACGACATGATGAGAGCTATCAGACCAAAAAAGAGTTGCAGAGACAAGACCAGAAATACTCGACAGATCGTTCGCTGAGACAATGACTGTGAAAGACTTCTTCTCTCCCAGTGCGTTGAAAGAGAGTGTTACTGGGTCAACCTTTAGGGTGAGACTCGGATCCGAAGTCACTTGAGCCTTGTACTCGGATTTCGCTGTCCCGACGTTCGTCAAAGTCCTCGAAAACTTGATTTCGGAAGACGGGGAGGAAGAAACTCGGGCCGTCATTGACGGGTAATTCAGGTCTCGGACCATCGGAATCGATCCTTGGGGGCATTTCATGTCTTCGCCGGAGATGATCTTGATAGATTCAGCGGTGTAGTTCATCGCGCAGAGCATTGTCAAGTAATCCTCCTTTGTTGTTTCGTACACAAGTCCAGGATCAGTAGCTCCCACTGGATTGAGGTATCCTGATCCGTACGCGAACTCAGCCCCTTGGCTGTCAGAACCTTTCATCGGCCAAGCTATACGTACACACAATTTATATGGATATGT